ATAGGCGGATATCTATGCTTTAGCAAAAAAAAAAAAGACAAATTATCAAGGCAAAATTCTGTCACAAATTTATTGCAATTTTTTTAGGTGATGAATCTACAATAGATTTGTGATGGAAAGCGGAAACGTAATTCTGTTTTTCAAAAAAATTACGGTTGATGTAATCTCTAGTTCTTAAAATTTAACTTTATTTTCATTTTTATTTTGGAAGAAACCAGCGTTTGTCAGATTTTAAGAATTAAAACTAAAATTAGTCTATGTTATTAAAAAAAACTAAAATTAGTGTAGATTTGAGAGATTGGGACTGTATTAACCCAAAAATTTATAATCAAGAAATTAGTGGTGCGTCTATCCATATCATGGCCGCAGTAAATCCTAAATACCGTGGCAAATCCATCATAAATTTCTTATTTTTTTGGGGGTACTTTTAACTACTATATATATAATTAAAAAAAGCGATGCATGCCTTTATATTTTTATCCAATTTAAAAAGAATATATATCAAACATACGGTATACCTTTCAAATAAATAATCAATTGTAATGGACAAAATGGTCCTCTCCGTAAATTATTGAGAAGCATTAAATGAATTTCTTTCCGGCATGTAAAGTAATAAAGTATATGGTCTCCGATTGTCGGATATATATTGAAAACTATTACAGGAAATTATTCGAAATAATTTTCTTCCTATCGATCAGTTTTCTTCAAAGAGACTGTTACAGAATTTTTATCAAACGTCAACTGTACTTTTTTAAATCCGGAAAAAGTCTTTAACATAGTAGTATTACTCATTTGTTCATACTGAAAATGCCCCACTCCTGGAGAATTATTTTTTTAGTAATAAAAAGAAGAAAAATTAAATTGAAGTAGTTGAAAAGACAATGCAAAAAGAAAATAAGATGTTTGGTTTGACTAGGGGTTTTGAAGAAGTGTACAGTGAAGGGGAGAATTAAAGGGAGCGAATGGGAAGGGGGGCAATAACAGGGAATTAATAGATATGATTAGCGATTTACGAAGGAGGGAATGAGGGGGAGGCAGGCAATTGGGTGGGAAGGTGCAAGGTGGGGCTCAGGGGACTCAAGCGATAAGAAGGGACCGCGTGAGGAGTCTGTGAGCGTGTTGTGTGATCGTGACCCCAGCGTGGGGCTCCCATGCATCCGTTTTTTTTTTTTTTTTGTATATAAATTTCTTCAGCTCGTAAATCTCTCTAGCAGATAGGTGATAGATTACATGTAAGAAAAGTTAAGTTATACATAAAAAAAAGATTTACACCAAATATTATTAAGATATGAGAAATTAATTTGCATATAAGAATGACAATCTGCACATAATTAGAAAAGATAAATTACACACACAAAAAAATATGAATTGCACAAAGAGAATATACTCCCTCCGTTCCTTATTACAAGATCTAATTTTTTGAATGAGTTTGTTCCATTTTATAAGATCTTCTTTGAGTTTGTCTAAGCATTTAATGTAATATTACCTATTTTATTCCTAATTTAATATATTTAATACATTTTCTTTTTTTATTCATCTTACTATTACTTTCTCACGTCTATCTATTTATTTATAGGGATATATTTGAAAAAAATTATATTTGCTATATATTAATTACTTTTAACTAATTTTAAGTGTTTTCTTAAATCACACAATTTAGTTAAAAGGATATTGTAATAAGGGACAGAGTAGTAATGTTTTAAAAGCCAGCCCGGAAGTCAAACCGGAAAGATCAATGGGTCATGGTTCAATTGGTTAGACCGGGACGTAATAATTAATTTAAAACAATAATATATAAATATAATTAATATATATGAAAAATATCAAATTATTAAATAATTTAGAAATACATTTAAATAATCTAAAATTATAATGAAATAATTGAAAATAGAGTAAAGCCTTGTATATTTAAACTTATGTATGTTTAAAATATTTAATAATACTAAAAATTATTAATTCATTCAAATCAAAACATTGGTTTAAAAGATAGATCAGGCATCAAAACAAAAAGGCTAGCGACTCACGGTTTTAACACCACAATATATGAAATTTTCAATGAAATGATACTATATGGTTATAAATAGTCTAAAAATATATTAAGATATTTAAGGGGGTCAATTTTTTTATTTTTCTTCTATCTTTTTTTTATTTTTTAGTATTTTTGCAGTTAGGCTAAAAAATCATCCGATTTTTTGAAAACCGTTCCAATTCCCAGTCTAATTTCGGGTTCTGGTTTAATAATGGCTCAACTCCAGTCCAATCCAGCTCAACCATGTGAATGATTTTTTGGTCCAAATCGAGCTGCTAATGAGTTCGGCTCTCCAGATGACGGTTTAACAAGTCTAACGGTCCGATCCGGTTTGGTTCTTTAATCATTGCAGAGTAGTATTGTACAAGGGAAGATAATTACACATAAGGAAGGATTGACTGCACATTAAAAAAGTGAAGTTGTACAAAATCCTTAGGCATCATTTATCAATTAAATTCTTAATGAAAAATTTACCTCCAATTTTCCCAACAAAAAAAAACACTACATGAGAAGACTTTTTTAAAAAATTAAGTGAATTGGATTCTGCTCTCACAAGGAAGGCATACCTTCAAGGGCAACTTTAGTCCATATAAAAATTAAAAAGAAAAAATAATTATGCAATTTTATCTCTAATCTTATTTTTCGAATACAATTTTACCCCTAATATTTGTAATGGTGTAATATTAATTTTGATCTTTTTTTTATGAACAATTTTATCTCTAATATTTTTTGGTACAATTTTACTCTTGATTTTTTTGGTGCAATTTTAAGCCTAAGAAAGAGATTTTTTGGGGGGGGGATTACATCCTAAAAATATCAAGGTACCTTTACTCATTAAACATGATCCCAAGAGAAGCTAATCTATGCTAGGTGTACAACTAAGAAAGTGTTTGGATTGAAATTAAATTATAATTTCAAAAATATTTTTATAATTTATAAAATAAATATGTGAAAAAATTTGTTCTGATCATAAAAAATACTTTGCAAAACACCTTTTAAGCTTGCTAAACATTTCCTAGATCACAGAGACCTGACAAAAGCCTTAAGCGTTATTCTTACCCCTACGCATGTCTAAAGTCAAACTTGGTACAGAGGAAGTTGGTTCCAAAGAATCACAGCCATATTCCAAAGCGTGCAGCTGTGAGATCAAACCTTCTGTAATAAATATGATTTTTCAAAAAAAAAAAAAAGTTATCTCCGCTCCTTTCGGCAGGGATGGATAATTACGAATTATAGACGTACTTCTCTTATAATTTGAGAGTTCATATTAGTTTTATATATAAAACATATTTTATATATTTATTAATTTTTTAAAATTAATTTTAGTGATATTTTCTCAATAATAATCAAGTAAGAGATAGAGGAAGGAATTAAAAAAGATGATTAGAGTATTTTAAAAAAAACACATCATATTAACTAATTTAACTAATATCTTTAATCTACTCAAATGAGTTAATTAAATTTTATATTATGAGTCGGATGAGCATATGTTCACTATAATACTTCGGAAGAAAGAATTACGTGCACAAATCAAAATGAGTGTCCAGAGTTTTTCTTATTTATTTACAAATATTCCTCTCTCTCTTTTTTTTCTGTATTTCATCTAAGAGCGTGATGTACAGTAAACTATTTTTTGCAGACTGGTCACCACTCAGCAGGCGAATTAAACGGATTCAGGATTCCACGAAGAGGTTCTTCTTGCACATGCACGTTGATGAGAATCTGAAGCTGTATTTTTATGAATGTTGGAGTGGATCGGTCCGTAACAATTTTATGTTATTTGTCTCTTGATTCAACATTATTAGTCTATGGAACCCATCAACTTCTTAAAATATAGGATCTATTTAAAAAGTTGATATTGGGTCTATACGTAAGATTTATTTAACCTATTTATTTATTTATTTTTTAAATAATAACAATAATCGAGCAGGAAATGAAAGGAAGGAGTTAAGAAAAATGTTTTGAGTATTTTAGAAAAAACATATCATATTAACTAATTTAACTAATATCTTCTATTTATTTAAATTAATTAATAACTAATTAGAAGTATTGAATTTTAGTCTCTTTCACAGTTAGACGATCCACTGTGCTAATTAACGCAGTGACGTAACACATGCAAGCATCAGCCTTAAATTTCCACTAAACTGGCTCTGGGCTCCCATATACGGATAACGGTGAACTTGGTCATGGCTGGCTATTGGCTAACATCATGTCAATTTTTGGTCGAGAAAGCACAAAGTTTAGTTGGCGTTTAATAACGCCACGTCACCAACAAAATTGTTCCCTTTCACAGTTAATTGTATGATTTAAAGCTAACATACATTGTGATTCATCTATGCATGTAATTTCATTATAGTAGTAGTTAATAAAGAGATTTGACCAGCATGGCTGATAAAAAGTTTTATATTAATATTTTTTTGTTGCCAACTTTGGATTCTTGAACTATAGGTTAATATAATTTTTATTTTTTTAAATTTATTCTCATTTTAGCTTTAGTTCCTCAAGTGTTATATTATAATTTTTAGTTTTTTTAAAATAAAATAGTCCAAGTTTTTATTGAATTATAAATACTAATATTTTAAATAAAAAATTTAAAAAATCAAAATATATAATTTAAAATTTAAGAAATTAAAACTAAAATAAGAGTAAATTTAAAAAAACTAAAGATTATATAGTAATATATTACTATTAGTTTATACTACCTCCAGTTCTAATTATAAGACCCAATTGACTAATTTGAAAAGATTAAAAAAATAAGTTAAATGTAGTTATTTGTAACAAATTTAATTTTTTAAAATTTGTGGTTTAATGGTAAACGACAAAAGTAACAGTACAGGGAAAACAGTGGCGCGTGAATAGAAGCGCGTGAATGCGGATTGATCATCGTCCAGCGGTCGCCCACAAAAGCTGTGAGTCTGACCTTACCAGTTACCACACATGCACTGATACGTCTGCACCGGGAGATCAGTGGTCTCTCCTCATTTTCAAAACTACAGCCTAATCCACACAAAACCCACCACTGTGTGCCCCGCCTTCCAAAAGCTCTCTGGTGTAGCCCCCAAGTCCAGTGCTTTCATTACCAGCTGCACTTCCACTCATCTTTGTAGCTCCACTCCCTGTTTTTCTCTCTTTCCTTTTCTTCCATTTTCCTCTTTCCACCCGTTACCGTGTTTATCAAGATTGGCCACTCATTGCTTGACACTCGCACTCACCTTTTTGTAGAATCAATAATATAGTACTTTTGCACTTGAACTATATTGAATATTATCATGTTTATGTGTGACGATGCGTCACGCATTGGATCAGCAACGTAACTCAAACTGTGTTCGTACGGCAATCTGGATCCTGAAATTGATTGGAATTTCGCTACGCTGTTTCTTCTGATTCTGATTCTTGTATGTGCTTGTAATTGTATTGACTGTGTCGAGCTTGGAAGAGGATGAAGCCGAAGTCTGACCAGTTTAACGCATTTTGTTGGATAATTTACCTGCTAATTTCTGGGTAACTGCCCATTTGCTGCGCGGAATTTGGGGTTCCATCATCATAAACCAGTATCCCGCAATAATTGGGACTAGATTAGTTTCTACGGAGGCAGAGTTCAGAGGCCAGACTGCCACAGGGCAGTGTTGCAGCTCACTGTTTTAGGAAGCTGTTGAACTGTCTTCGGCCTCATGAATTTGTGGGCAATTTTAGCATCAGGCTTTTCTTCAAGTACTTTCTTTTAAGTGATGGGTTGTGTATATTCAAGGGTTTGCATAGGTGAGGTTTGTAGTCCAAGAAATTCCAGGATAAATGAAGGTCGAAATGCGAAAACCGGTGAGGCTGCCTGGTTGTCTCCTGCATCCTCGGATGTTCAGGAAGGTGAAGTTAGAGACCAATTGAATCAATTGAGCTTAACCAGAGACTCTGAAGCGGGCATCAGAAGGCTAGCTAGGGTTTCAGCGCAGTTCCTACCTCCCGATGGCTCGCGAGCAGTGAAGGTCCCTTCGGGGAACTTTGAATTGCGTTATTCGTACTTGTCGCAGAGAGGTTATTACCCTGATGCGCTCGATAAGGCCAACCAAGACAGTTTTTGCATTCACACCCCGTTTGGTACAGACCCTGATGATCATTTTTTTGGGGTTTTCGATGGGCATGGAGAGTTTGGGACTCAGTGTTCACAGTTCGTGAAGCGAAAGTTATGTGAAAATTTGCTTAGAAATAGTAAATTTCGGGCAGATGCTGTGGAAGCCTGTCATGCTGCGTTTTTGGCCACAAACTCGCAGTTGCATGCTGATGTTTTGGATGATAGCATGAGTGGTACCACAGCAATTACGGTTTTGGTTCGGGGTAGGACTATATACGTAGCCAATTCAGGTGATTCTAGGGCGGTGATCGCAGAGAAGAGAGGAAAAGATATCGTGGCAGTAGACTTATCCATGGACCAAACACCTTTTAGGTCAGATGAACTCGAGAGGGTCAAGCTTTGTGGAGCTAGAGTTCTTACTCTGGATCAGATTGAAGGTCTTAAGAATCCTAATGTTCAATGTTGGGGAACAGAAGAAGGAGATGATGGTGACCCGCCTAGATTGTGGGTGCCGAACGGGATGTACCCTGGCACAGCTTTCACTAGAAGCATTGGTGATTCAATTGCCGAGACCATTGGGGTCGTTGCTACCCCGGAAATTGTTGTCTTCGAGCTTACTCCAAAGCATCCTTTCTTTGTGCTTGCCAGCGACGGTGTCTTTGAGTTTCTATCTAGCCAGGCTGTTGTTGAGATGGTAATTTTCTTTTTGTCTTTTTTAGTTTTTCTTTTTGCCGTTGTCTATATAAAGCTGATATCATCTCTGGTGGAGAGCATATAATATATATACTAGCCCACTCTGTAACGCAGGAGTAAATGTTCTTGTCTTGTTTATTGTTCAAAATTTGTGGGGTCTGGTAGAAAAAGCATGTTGCCTTCGAGGTTATTATGACATTTTCACTTTCACACGCGCGCACACAATTATTTGCTTCAGGTATCTCTTCAAGAGATATCTTGTGATTGAGTGACGAGTTTCTGCTGAATCAGGTGGTATTTTTTTTCTTCTATGAGAACGGCGGAAATATTTTTGATGCTGTACAAAACAAATGAGGACATTAAGTACTGAATCAAGCTACTTTCCTGTTTGAAGAGAGATTGCTTTTGCGACACAAAAATATTGAATTCAATCTTCTGTAAATTGAGATACTTTTAGTAATTGGTGCTGTTAGATGCTTTGTCGGTAATCGCATTCTTCAGCTAAAATAGCAAGGTGCTAGGATCTCTCTTCATTAATAGAGGCGTGCTTATAAAATTTTTATGGACATAATCAGATTGAGGTGTCACCGGTTAGACTTGGGTTGATTAAAATGAAAACTCACATGAAGAAAATGAATTTTTGTCATATTTGCAGGTTGCTAAATTCAAAGATCCTCGTGATGCTTGTGCTGCGATTGTGGCTGAATCTTATCGACTATGGCTACAGTATGAAACTCGTACGGATGATATCACCATTATTGTTATTCATATTAATGGACTAGCCGATGTATGGTGATTTCCTTTTCTCTTTTCGTGGAAAATGTTCATGGTGTTCTTTACTTCCCCCTGGTTATTTGTAACTAATTTAGTTTTTTGCATCAGCCTGCTGTTGGTCAATCTGCCAGTTATGGTGATATTCCTAGAACTCCAGTTCCTCAGGTTGTTGAGGTGACAGCATCAGAATCACCTTCCACCCTGAGCTGGAACTCCAAGAACCCTCGGGCAAGGCATGACTTATCAAGGGCGCGTATCCGAGCAATTGAAAACTCCTTAGAAAATGGACAAACTTGGGTTCCTCCCTCTTCAGCTCATAGGAAAACATGGGAGGAAGAAGTAAGCCCTGCTTTTGCCTACTCCTATCACAAGTTTCTCCTCCATTTTACACTTTTCAGTTGCAATTGTCATTAACATTGTTATGCACGCCTGCCATTACACTCTATTGCTCTCACTTGCTAGTTCAATATATGAACCCTTTATTGGTGTCTCATATTCATATGCTACAGGCACACATTGAGCGGGCATTGCATGATCATTTTCTCTTCAGAAAGCTTACTGACTCCCAGCGTCATGTTTTATTGGATTGCATGCAAAGAATTGAAGTTCAACCTGGAGATGTTATAGTCAAACAGGTTTGCTTTTCCACTTGAAAACCTTAAGTATAATGATTATTCAGCTTTTACATATGTCTGTAAACTTTTAAGGTTAGGGAACTTTTCAAAGATGCATAATGAGCAGAGGTTCATATTTAGGTTGGTTTATGGCTTTCAAAATTGTTCTTGTGGACGGATATTTCTGCAGTATACTTTTTTTTTTTTTTCACCTGAAGTATTATCGATTGAGAATTGGTAAATCTGCTGCTGCATGAGGTTCCTCAGCTACTTTTTTCAATTATTACTCATTGCTATACTCGGGGAGGAAAGTGAATCCTAATATTGATGTTCTACCCGCTATATGTAGCTGTCAAATATTATAATCTCTAGCAGAAAATGGAGAAATATGTGATCTTAGATGTAACTAGAATTAGTTATTTGAAAGTCTATTATATATACTGATATATGAATTATAATTCGAGAGTTATGACAGATATGCCTTGCAGGGTGGTGAAGGTGACTGTTTCTATGTTGTTGGTAGTGGAGAATTTGAGGTCTTGGCAACTCAGGTTTATAATCTTTATCAGTTGTTTGCATTGGGCATTCAATTTGTCTATATGAAGGCCACAATTTTTCTTTTCTTGAAATACTGAATCTTTCAATCGGAGTGGTGCCTCCAGGCCTTTAAAATGTCCAAATGGTTCTTTTGGTTTCATGCCATCATTATTTCAAGGGCAATGACCCCCTAAACTTTTTTACCTTTTCATTTTGCTTCCACCCCCCAAAATCTTGATACTATAACTTCACCCCCATGTAGTCCAGGATCTCCAGATGCAATCATGTTTTGATTACCCAGTTTTCATATTATAGATGCTGCATCTTGTTCTACCTGATATTCTCTTTAAATTTTGTATTTTTCATGTGACGTGATTGGATTTGAATGCTTGTTCAACATATATCAAATTGCAGGAGGAAGAAAGTGGGGAAGTGCCTAGGGTTTTGCAGCGCTACACAGCAGAAAAATTGTCTTGTTTTGGAGAACTTGCTCTAATGTGAGTTCCTCATCCCCTCTTCCCCATTTAACTTTTCTCAAGCACAGGACTTAGTTTTCTTGAGAATTGCCTTCCTGGAATAACAGGCACATATCTTGAAAATAGAAAAATATTGAGTGAGATGCTTTTGCAGTTTCTCTTCTTTTTAATTGAAAATATTTCAATTCATTTTCAGGACATCTTTTCCGTCTCTCTGCAACTATAATACTTAATTTTGGTGAAATTTTATCATTCCAGACACTAAGTAAACGTATTTAGTTGTATTATTGTGGCCATTCAAATTTTACAAAGGTTGTCAAGAATCAAGATAGAGTTGGAAATTTCCACACTTGAGTTGAAGCTGCATATTTTATTTATTCTCATTTATTTTTTGTTGAGCCTTTATGTATGTAATAAAACCTAGTTGGGAATGGTCTACCCTTTCTTTTCAGTATCCCAAGGGAGATTCTCTCTGGAAAAAAAAGAAAAGGCAGAAAGCCTTTGTTTTTTCTTTTGCCTTGCAACTATATCAATTGTTCTGAAATTTGTGGTCTTACAGGTATAATAAACCACTTCAGGCCTCTGTACGTGCTGTAACAGAAGGAACTCTGTGGTCCTTAAGGCGAGAAGACTTTCGAGGAATTTTAATGTCAAAATTCTCTAACTTATCATCATTGAAGTTGCTTCGGTCTGTAGACCTCCTTTCAAAGTTGACAATCTTGCAACTCAGTCAGATCTTGGAGTCCCTTTCTGAAGTTTCCTTCTCAAATGGTCAAACAATAATTGATGAGGTAAGATTTTGGGATGTTAAGCCCATTTACACCTCCTTCTTTTCTTATACGTATTGAGCTTTTGTTTTTTGGCAGAATGAAGCTGCTGCGTTGTACATAATTCAGAAGGGACAAGTGAGAATAACTTTTGATTCAGATTTACTGAGAAACCCAAATGCCTGCAGCCTGAAGCCTGACAATCAGAATGAGAATGATCTCCAGAGCACGAAGGAGCTATCAATAGAGAAGCCTGAGGGGAGTTATTTTGGTGAATGGACTCTTCTTGGTGAAAATATTGGAACCTTTAGGGCTATTGCTGTCGGTGACGTGTTATGTACCGTACTAACGAAGGAAAAATTTGAATCAGACATTGGCCCCTTGAAATTGTTTTCTCAGGAAGATCAGAAGTAAGTCTTATTTTATGTTACAGTTTTTGTTGTCTGTTTATTTGTTAATATGCTAAACCTAACTGACAAACGTCATATCCTTGATACCATTAATTTGATGATAGGTCAAGGGACAGTTCCTCAGACTATTTGAAGGAATCAACTAAAAGTCTTAATTTTTCTTCCCCTGATAAAATCCATCTCTCAGATTTGGTAAGGGGTGCTCTGTCCTGCTTTTGCTTGTCATCCAATGTATCATGCAAAGGACATGGCGTTCTCAAACTAGCTTATGGTTTTTATTTTCTAGGGGTGGAAAAAGTGTGTATATTCTACTGACTGTTCTGAGGTTGGGCTTACTCTATTAGGAGACTCAGGTAGATTTCTCTGTACTGATGCTGTCAGTTGTTGTCTGGATATAGTTGCATGTTAGCTTCTCCTTGCACACAGTCTTCTTCTTTGTTATCTTGGGTGGCTTTTCTTTCATTCTGTTGGAGCATTTAATGTTGCAATGAAACAAAGCATGCGTGCTTTCACTGATGTAATTTGCTGTGCAAATGTGGTTGGCTAGCAGAAAATGTGCTTACTTTGAAGAGGTTTTCTAAGCAAAAGGTGAAAATGCTGGGAAAGGAAGCACAAGTTTTCAAAGAGAAAGCTTTGATCAAAGGCATGAACTCTTCGGCTTGTATACCACAAGTTGTGTGCACCTGTGCTGATCGAGCATATGCTGGGATACTATTAAATACATGCCTTGCCTGTCCATTGTCTTCCATACTTACAAGTCCTTTTGGTGAATCATCTGCACGATTTTGTGCTGCTTGTGTTGTTACCGCCTTGGAAGATTTACACAAGGTCTTATGTCCGCATATAATTTTCTTTTTGATTTTTCCTTCTTTGAATTGTCATCATGTTTATTCACTGTTCTCATTCTTATTTGAATTTCAGAATGGTGTTCTTTACAGAGGGGTATCACCTCGTCTTCTGACTTTGGACCAAACTGGATATATACAGGTCAGGAGATTTTAAGGTCTTAATGTGATGCAGTGGATCCTTTGTATTCGTATATTTTTCCCCAACATATGCCCATAAAAAGGAGAAACCCATAAACTATACACACCTGTGCTAAACTATGCCTCTGCTTGTAGCTAGTGGACTTCAGGTTTGGGAAGAAGCTCTCAGATGAAAGAACGTTCACAATTTGTGGAATGGCAGACTCCTTGGCTCCGGAGATTGTTCTTGGAAAAGGCCATGGCTTCCCTGCTGACTGGTATGACAAGGCCTTTTATGACCGTTGATTCATTTCAAACCCAAAGTTTCTCGGCTGTGGGTGCTTTCCTTTCCTTGGTTGCTGTGAAAAAACAAGATAAGATAAACTAAAATATTTTTTCAGCAAAGGCAAGTTCATGTGGTCTGCATATTAGCTCAACATGTTAGCAAGATGATTAAACTATTCTTTTATTAAGTATTCATGCTGCTCATGGTTGTTATTTTTCACTAGAAAGAAATCTCAATGGCTTGTGTGATTCATCGGTGTCTAGGTGGCTCTGAATCATTAGAATTAAAAGCTAGTTTATGGCTATGGTCCCATGTGCCTTGACTACTGTTTTGGAAGGATGTGCAGCTCACATGCTTTGGTGATGATAATGCAGGTGGGCTTTGGGAGTTCTTATTTATTTTATGTTACGGGGTGAGATGCCTTTCGGATCGTGGAGAGAAAATGAACTTGATACGGTGGCCAAAATCGCAAAACGGAAGCTAAACCTTCCAGAAACTTTCAGCCCAGAGGCTGTTGATCTCATCACTAAGGTATTGCAAGAATTGCAGCTTTGTTTCTGTCTCTTTCTATCTTGTTTGATATTCAAGACGTGGAAAGGAGAAGAATTATTCATTGTGGTTGACTAATTTGATCAGTTACTTGATGGTGACGAAAGCACCAGACTTGGTAGCCACGGTCCTGATTCAGTCAAAAGCCATCCTTGGTTTAGTGGCGTTGACTGGGAAGGGATAAGAAGCCATAGCTTTCCTGCTCCTCCAGAAATTATCTCCCGTATTAGTCAATACATGGAAATTCATTCTGAGGATTGCACTGGTTCCCAAGTTTCCCCCTCACAGGAGGTAGATGAACTTAACATTCCTGAATGGCTTGAGGACTGGTAGCAGAATGATTCAGGGTTTCATGTTCTTATAACATTTTGATGTTTTGCCGTGCACCATGGCTCATTGAAACACTTGCAACCCAAGAAATCGCTTAGAAGGCAGTTGCATGGAAAAATGCTTAGAAACCAACATATCCAAGTGCTTCTCCATAATTCCTTTTTTTTTTTTTGGCAGCATGACTATGTGGTTGCCGTGTGTCTGCAATGGATCCAAGTATATGCTATTTGCTTTGCTGTTTTTTTTTTCTTGTTTGCATTTATTGAAAATTGGAGAATAGATAGCGTAGGTAGGTTATATACCTCTCACACCATCCTCAGTTCCTTTTTTCTTTCGAGGTAGTTCCCTCCTGTGTAAATTTCATATATAGAATGTACAGGAGCGAGTTTATTTCATTTGGAACTGAAAAATGCCTACTTTTCATCAATTTACAAATTATCTATTATGTATTTTTGAAAACTTTACGGAGTTATTATTTAGTGGCGTGGCCCCTCAAAGATACGTCTAATGTCTTAATTATTAACTATGAGTTTACATGATTCAGCCTCTAAAAATATGGCTTGTTCATCATTCTTCCATGAATTAAAAAGGTAAAAGAAGATATAGACATATAATATGCTCTAGGCTCTTTGCAAGTTGCAGATGAACAAACGTGAGGCATTGATTCCATAAAGCAAAAATTTCAAAACCAGATTTATGGGTAGGGTTGCACATGGCTAGCGCTGGACAGGACAAGACTTGACTTTTTCTTGATGCCCAGTCCGAAGAATAAACGTGCTGAAAAATGTAGCCCGTTGTCTAGTCCTATCCATGAAAAACTCTATTAAGTTTGGGCTGGACAAATGCGAGTTGGGCAGAATGAGCTTCTATGCCCAATAAGTCAAGATATTATACCAATTAACTAATTATTTATGTCACTCTAAATAATCTAATGTAATTTTATATTAAAATGACAACTTAGCCTTAATTTTGTTATTACTAATTAATATACTATGAAACTACTTTTTCTAATAGCTAGAAGGAGTAGACTATGACAAAAAAGATGTTGTTTGTATATATTTTATTAAACTTAATTATTTTTTTAGTTTCTAACTCTCAAAACCATTCAAAAATAAATAAGTATAATCCACACTGAATATTGATACAACAGTGTGTTTAATTCAAGAAATAAAAATAAAACAAATAAAATATATACAAATGAAATTATATACATTTTTGGGATGAGAGCCAAATGGGCAAGACAGCATACCGTACTCGATATCCAGTCCTACTCAACAATTTATCCAGTCCAAACATATCTAATAGTTTTTTCGGGTTATTTTTTTTAAGGACAGGTTGGATTTTTTTTGTCGGTTTAGACAGGTATAACGGGCTATCAGACTTCAAGAATACCCTTCTTTATGGGTAAACCTTAGAATTACGGAAGATAAGAGGCAGACTTAGGCCTGCGGCATCTTAACTACTGCGCATCACATCACATCATGTCAATAAGTCATCACATGGCTCATAAAACTCCACACGTTCTCATCAGTATTTTAATTGATTTTGTGTGGGTTTGATTCCCCATAGTACTATAATCAGAGAAAGGACAAGAGGCACACCTAACCTAACACAAATCTAACTGAACCACAATGATAACCGAAGTGACTATTAATGTATGCATGGCAGCTTGCTCGTGACGACATAACAGTCCTTATTGAGCTTAAAAATTTTGTATAAACTTAAATAGCAAACTTTAACTGTGTTTCGATCCACCTAATACTCAAAAGCAGTTTTTTTGAATGTATCAGTGTTTTAAAGTTATTTATGATGTAATTTTAATTATTAAATTGCTTCAAGCTCATGCAAGACTGACTCAAATTGCACCACAAATTAAGTTTAGAATATTGGTTCGTGTGAGACAATACTTTAAAAGATAAGTGCCCTTGGCTTTTTTAATTTTTTTGGGTCATGTGAGAGTTAAAGAAACAAAAAATTAGACTAGATACTAAATCGATTGAAATAGTAATTAAAGAGTCAATTGGTCTAATTAAAATCAACTCGAGATCAAATCGATCATATTAAAATAATATAATTTAATTAAAAATAATAAAATACAACAATATTAATAATAACTAATAATAAAATACAAAGAAATATAACAATAGTTAAATTATAATAATAACAAAGTATAATAATATTTAGAATTGTTATCTTTATGGTTAATCAATAATTAAAATTAATAATAATTGATACCAAAATGACAAAATCATCATTAAAACTTAATTAAATATATAGTGACTGAGATATTAGAACTAGATGAGAAAAAATAAGACCAATAATAATATGATCATTCAAACTAGTTCATCACTATTTTTATCAAATCGATTCAACTCTTGACCTATCTAATGCCAAAACTAAATACTGACCGAGTTTTCAATTGGATCGGCCGGTTTGATTCGATTTTTTAATTCCTTGATGAGAGCACATTGTTTTTTTTTTTTTTTTTACAAAGGCAAGACTAAAGTCTTGAAAATACAGACACAAACACTTTCAAAACTCTACATCTGTGGGTAATCCGTGATCAAAAATGGTATACATCCCGGTGGGGGATGCCGTAAAACTCTAAATTCCTCCATCAGTTGGTGGGCCTCCCGCACAAGATAATCTGCGCATTTCATACTCTCCCTCGATGCATAGTGCACCTGAGAGCACATTGTTTTACTCGCATATTCTGGGCATGTGTCATTAAATTTAAACAATGGTGGGGACAAGGGAAGAGGGCCCACACATGTGCCGCTTGTTTTATACTATTACTTGCCTTGCGCCGATGCATACTTGTCCCTCAAGAAATTGACCAAAACCACATCCCCTGCAAAACTTGTTGACATTATGCATTTAAAACTAAAAAGTTCATAATTATATCAACAGTTTTATAAAACGCAAATTGCAGGCTTTGATCTCTGTGTTTTTGGTGCCTCCCTTGAGTCAACTTGGCCGATTATCACTGTGTGAAAGGTGTACAGTTATCGTTTGGATTCAATCTACGGATTTAGAGGGCACATGTTTACTTTTTCAGATATATATTTAAAATTTTTTTTAGTATATACTAATATTTCTCCCAATATATGTATATTTTTTTGGCATTAAACCAGCATTTTGATCTTTTTAAGAGGAAAGAAATCTTTATGTAAAAATTAAGTGTTAGCTAGAAGGAGCGTAAGTATGTATGGATTTTGAAAAATCACGGAAAGTAAACTAACCCAATAACTAACATGGGTAAACTGGTACTACTATTTCTTTTTTTCTGGTTATGATCTTTAGTGATGAATGACTTCTTTAGCATTGTTAAAGTTGCTTTTAGGCTTTTGCAAATGCTTTAGAGAAGATAAGCAAGAGTCTTATACGATACTTTCTCTGATCTGATCTCTTGCTTGCTTGATGATAAAGTTGAAGACAAAGGACATGCTCCATTCGTGGAAACAGGTTGGCATGTAATCAGCTCTTTGTTGCTTAACTTCACTATTAAATTGTTGTTATTATAATATTATAATATTCATACGTTGAGCATAAGAAAATAAAAGATATGTCGTTTTTTTTTTCAAGAGCATATTTTCTACGTATCTTTTTTTTTTTTTATGCAAAAGGCAAAATTTTTATTAACTTTTTTTAATATTAAAAATAGATAAGCCAAACATGACAATAACAAAAATTATATACAAGTTTTCATGTACGTCTTATTATTAAAAAAATTATGGGTTAGTATTAGTTACAAAATTAACGCTAACTATATTACATTCTTTCTATAAATTCTGAAATCAGGAACAGCATAAATTGAAATGAAGCAAAAAAACAAGAAAGGTTTATCCGTTTCTATAGAACCATATACTCTCTGGTAAAAAAAAAAAAAAAAACTATATTATACTCTAAGAAAATTGCTAAACAAAATGTACATGAAGCTGTCAGATCAACACGTGGCTATTCAGTGTTCAGTAAATGTTTGAACTGAAGCAGATCACACCTAACCTTGAGAAGGTGATTAGATTATTGATGAAACTATACATTTAACGGCTGAGATCTTTCTCTATTCACAAACCATTGAACAGTTCTTCTGGCGATTGGCAGCCATAGCTGCCTCCTTCTTTCCTCGTTAACATCGCTTGGAATCATTGAACAATCCCTAAACATTCTGTCTCTCATACCCAAATCTCCAAATCTAGACACACCAGTGATTTCTGACATGGATCTTTTCTCCCCCGGATTCACATATTTTGATGTATGACTAGAAGATGAAGTTCCTGCACAATCTGAAGCATCTAAACCTGAGTTTAATGAACCGAACTTTGTCCCAAAGGATATCTTCCTCTCCATCTCCTCCTTTATGTTGATGATCTGCCCATTTTCTCCTGATGTTGATGCTCGAATCTTCTCACCGTATGGTTCTGAAAGCTCGAATCTTTCGCTTTGCACAGAACTAATCATCTCTGAATTCAGAAACATGAGGTCCGAAGAGCTCACGTTGCTCCATCGGTGCTTGAAGACCACATCACTTACAGTAATCTTATGGTTATGTTTATGATACAACTTTCCACCATCATGCTCTGCTTCTTCTTGGATCGGCAATTCTTCTTCTTTTAGACCCTTTCCAGATTTCCTGAAGCTGCTTCCAATTCGGAATCTAGAAGACCCATGACGTTCTTCTTCCCTCTGAACAAAGATCTCTATGTTGGGTTCCTCACCATTCTCTGACTGGTTTGTTAGAAGCCTCAAACTGTTTGAATAGGTAAGCATGGTGGGGTCATCAGAACTGACCTTTCGCCTACAAAGAGGACAGCTAGAGTGTCTCTCAAGCCAATGATCAATACAATCGATGTGGAAGGCATGTTTGCATTTGGGAAGAAGCCTGAGGACTTCAATATCTTCAAACTTTGACAAGCAAACTGCACATTCAAGACCTTCTTTTGATCCTTTGAGGGAAGAGAATCTGAAGAAGGGGAGAGATTCTACGACAGTCTTGTCGATTCCTGAGAATCTGGACCTTGATCTCACAAGTGCAGGGAGGTTTTCAGGGTCAACGTGAGCCGAAGCTCTGCGTTGACAGAACTTGGCATACAAGAGAAGAATGAATGTAAGTGAAAACATAAGACATAGGATTCCTATGACAACTGCTAAACTTGGTTGGAAAGCAGTGATGCCATCCAGTGAAGGTGCACTATCATTGATCTGTTGTTGTGCTGTAACATGGAAGAAAACTAGAAAGACAAGAGAAAGACGAAGAAGACCCAGCTGGCTCATGTTTCTGCTTCAAAATCTGTTGATTTGAGTTGTTATGCGATTGGTTTTAATGAGAAGTTCAAAACATCTTTTCCCTCACAAACAGTAACCTCTTTTAAAAGTCTGTGTTTTCTTTTGTTTTCTTTCTGTTGCGTCTTAATTTGATTCTCTTCTTTTTTTATGAGACCGTGCGTTTAAATATAATTGTTGAATTTGGTAGTGGTGAACAAGTTGGGGAAAGAGAGTCTTATAATTGTAAATAACCGAGGTCGTTGGCCTTGATAACAATTCAATGAATTGAGAAATAACCGATCACATCCCTTCATTTTACAATTTCCATGCTCTCGCCATCTTTCATTACAAGATAAATTAAGCTATGTCAGTGTTGATTTTGGCCTTTCTTCCAGAAAAGGACTCTGTTTTTATTTTATCTGCCCATTTTTAGATTCCCAAAATTTTTTGTATTTGGGGTACCGGTTGCTCTCCGGACTAGAACAATCCAAACATTGAGACGAAGAGATTAGTTTTGTCATATCCCAATAACTATTTATTATATCTTTGGATTACAAAGTTAAGAGAAAAAAAAATGAAGAGATGTTTATTGATAAATGGCAAGTAGAGGTGTTCAATTCATTCCGTTTCGGTTTGATGAGTTTGCGACGGGCAAAAAAAAAAAAATTCAGGATGGGACACAGGATGGGGTCGTCCTGTCCAGTCCTGGGATTTTTTTTTAAAAATTATTTATTAATAATAATTATTAGATTATTCAATTTACTTAAGAATAATAATAATTATTATTATTATAGTGATTTTTGGCTCTTAAGTTGTAGTATTATCTCAACAAAATCTCTTTTCTTAATAAAATAATTCATAAAGTCATTATATAGTGTTTTTTTTTACAATATTGTTTTTATACTTTTTTTATACTATATAATTGAGCTTTCTGCATAAATTTTTTTATAATGTTTTTATCTTTAGAAGTCCAATAAAAAATAAGAATATAACATAAAAAATTCATATAAAAATTATAATTTTTTTTTTAAAAAAAGAAACGAGATAGGACGGGACACGGGACAAAAATCCTGATCCGTTCCGTCCTATCTATCCTGTGAACACCCCTAATGGCAAGAAAGAAAGCCAAAGTTTCTTGCTGTAGCACATCAGTGTTAAAGTTTGTGAAGGATTTGGATTTTTTTTTTTTGGATAAATGAAGGATTTGGATTAAGTCTGCATTTGCATGCTGATTACATGGATTTTTTATGTTAAGTGCAAGTATCTTTCTATTTGAGACGATTTTGTTTAAATATAAACACTTCATCTCATGAGACGATTATGTTAAGAATCTGAATTTAAATTCGCCATGTTATGAGAGATTAATTCTTTTCATTAGACCTAAGCCTTGTTAGCAACAACAAATGGACGTGAAGGCACCTGTCACAGGGTTTAAATTTTGGATTTGCGATGATGTAGCACTGACCTGACTCTGTGTGCATGTAACGTTAAAAATTAGCCTAACGTAGTGAGAAGCCCATTGTTATTTAAAGGAGAGAAAAGAGGAATATAATACTCCGTCCCCCTAGTAGTTCTAAATACTCCTCTAATCAGTAGCGAGAAGGTACTTTTTGGTCCTATTTATAAGGTATTAAGAGAAATTTTTTGTATATATGTATAATTTTACGTTCATTTATTATTATGACTTTATTTACATAAAGTGTAATGCATATTAAATAGGGATAAAATTAGAAAGTTGTTAAATTTTAAATAAGAGTTAATAAATTTTAAAATTTTTTTTATTCTATGTGAAACGCGTTGGAAGTAATCTATAAATAGAATAAGAGGAGTACAATACTTCATGTAACAGCTGAGAGATTCAGCGTTTATTTATTAGGGTCAATGCTATTAAGGAGCTCTATATGTTTAATACAACTTGCAACTCCCAAGTCAAATTTCCCCCCTTAATAAATTGAAGGACAATTTTAAATTTGAGGTTGAAAAATAAGACATCATAAAGTCCCCGCCCACAAATTGGTCTAATACGGTATATCTTCTTCCCATGTAAATTAATTACTGGTGAATCCGTCATTTCTTCCCGATTTCTTTAATTTATTCCAATATAATTTTTTCAACTAATAACGTTTATTACATTTATCAAGACTGTTCTACATGAACGACTCATCGAGATGGCAGGTCTAATAGCATAGACAATGATGACTTATGCTATGCTCTATAAAAATTAATGAATCATGTAACATATCAAAACATGGGAGCTAAACCAAGTTTAATTTTACAACATATTTATTTCTTCAGACTAATAAACAATATTATCATTAATGTTAGAATATTTTGACGGAGTCAACCCACCATCCTCCCTAATAAGGAGTGCTTGCTTGGTTGACCCGTTAAGTTGATTTTTGTGAAACTACCATAATTGTGTCATGGTTTTGTGTTGTGCTAAAGAAAACAAATAAATGGAATAAGTAAAATGGCGATTAATATTATTGACTTTGAAGCAGAGGAAGAGATCAGGTTACATTTTGAGATTTTTTAATAAATGAAGGGGATTGTTTGCTAACACATCAAGGAGAGTACATTACGGGTTAAGATATAATTAATTAATAATTGATTACTGTATTTTGACGTCTCACATGTTTCTGTCACATGAAACAAATTAAATCAATTTACCTTTTCGTTTTCAATATGAATTTTTTTTTAAATGCCTTATCTTCTGACCATAATATATATTAAAAAAAACAAGAATCATCTATTTAGATTAATCTCTGAAAGAGGGCATGCACTAAACGTTGACTTTGGTGATTAGCAGGGGGGAAAAAGACAAATGAAACCAAAGTTATTGAAAGAAAGAAGGAAAAAAATAAAAAAAATTTAAATTATTCCCCGTATTATTTTCAACTCTTTTAATTATTTTTAAGAATCTTAGACGAGAGCTTACTAGGCAAAGAGAAGAGAATTAGAGACAACCGAATACCGAATTCCCCTTCATACTGTGAATTTGCGATATTAGTGATATTCATTGGATTTCTTTTTAGGAAACCTCTTACAATCAATATAAATATTTTAGGGAGAATGAGAAATATAATAGATTAAGATTTCATATTTAGGACCAAATCTAACCTTCTAACTAGTTTTTATATTAAGGATCATATATAGTCATCTTTCAATTCTAAATATAAAACCCATTTTATAGTATAATTTAAGATTAGAGGGAGTAATTAAAGACTGTAGAAGCATAGACATAATGAAGTAAAAGAAATCAAGTGTTTGATTTCTTTTCCGTCAGTGCTCATTTCCAAAGCTGTAATAAGTTGAATGGTTTGAAGAAAAATGTATCTTTTTGTATCGCCCATTGCTTACATAACAAAATAAGATAGTCATGCTATGATGCTACTGAAAATCTCAAAAAAAGAATATATATATATGTACATATTATATTTTTTCTCGATCTAACTTTGCTAGATAAATTATGAATTTCTTTTTTATTTGTTCTTCCATATTTTATGGTTAAATTTGTATGTGTGTGTGTGTATTCTATAATTCTTACCAATAAATAATATTTGAAAATACGGGATGCAAGGTCCTGTGCCTGTGAAAAAGGAAAAATAAAAGAAGGGAGATTTACATTCAAGTTCTAAGGATGAGATTTAATTGTCCTAAAATCCATGGACAAGTGAAGAGTGAATAAGTAGGAAATAATAATAGGTTTATGTTAGTCATTTGTTATTGAGATTTTTTAGTGATTAAATTTCTTCTTTGAAACTTCTTGATAATACTCCCATAAAAGAAAACGAAAGGAGCATAATAATTATTAAAAAAAAGGGAAGAAAATAAAAGAAGAGAAGGACTGAATAAGAGGACAAGTGTTGTCAAGTTCTAAAAAGGCAAAGAATAAGTCAAGTGACTTCACCGATCAAGGCTGTTTCCACGTCACCGTTTTTGTATATAAATAGTCATGCAATCCCACTTCCTAAATCAAGCAAAACTAACTTCCCTTTCTGTTTCATCTTCTCAAACAGAACATTAAGCAAATAAGGTCTGTGATTTACGCACCAGCTGTGCACGACACACGAACTGTAATTACTCTTAACCATTTTCTGTTTTCAAATTCTATCTCATCATCCGGACACATTAGTATTTAACCCCAGTTACTACGTAGGTTGGCACAGACATTCACATTACACAGAAGACATTGATCTTTGAAAAAAACCAATGGCGGGTGGCGGTTTTACCGATGCCGGAGGTAAAAGGGCTCATCTTTACCAGCACAGGATTACAGGCTACTTCATCTTTTCTTGCATCGTCGGTGCTATGGGTGGCTCTCTATTCGGCTATGATCTTGGCGTTTCCGGTGAGCTCCTGCTCTCTCTCTCTCTCTCTCACACACACACACACACACATATGAATATATATAATTAGTTAGTTGCAGTACGTGCGTGGTTGATTCATGAATCATAATTTGTGAAGGTGGCGTGACGTCGATGGACGATTTTCTCAAAGAGTTCTTCCCGAATGTGTACGCCCACAAGCATGCGCATCTGAAAGAGACAGATTACTGCAAGTACGATGATCAGATATTAACGTTGTTCACTTCGTCTCTGTACTTTGCGGCCCTGGTTTCGACATTTTTTGCTTCGAGTCTGACGAAGAACAAAGGCAGAAAAGCCAGCATCATTGTCGGATCTATAAGCTTTTTCGTGGGAGCTGTCATTAACGCAGCTGCCATAAACATCGCCATGTTGCTCATTGGACGTATCCTACTTGGCGTCGGCATCGGATTCGGCAACCAAGTATGTTGTTTCATTCATTCATTAAATGTCATCGATAGACAACACAAATTAAGCGTCCTTTTGTGTTTAACGTCAAAATATATGCATGATTTTGTAGATACAACATATATAATTTTGATAATTCGGGAAAATGAAAATTTACAGCAAGAGGAGGAAAATACAGACTCAATCTCACCAAATAATTTGAGAGATTAATATTAACGATGTAATGCTACATTTCACTTGCCCAAAGGGTTAGAAACATGATTCCCACACCCACATAAACATTTACCAAATTAATATGAATGTTCAAAAAAAAAATGCAGGCCGTTCCACTATATCTTTCTGAGATGTCTCCAGCAAATGTACGAGGAGCAGTAAACCAACTGTTTCAGTTAACAACTTGTACGGGAATCCTCGTAGCAACCTTGGTGAACTACGGCACAGAGCAGCTACATCCATGGGGATGGAGGTTATCGCTAGGTTTAGCCACAGTTCCAGCAACGCTAATGTTTATCGGAGGCGTGTTGTGCCCAGAGACGCCAAACAGCCTCGTGGAACAAGGCAGAATGGATGAAGCAAGAACCGTACTTGAGAAGATCAGGGGGACCAAAAATGTGGATGCAGAATTTGATGACATGGTGGAGGCAAGCAAAGAGGCTCAGGCCATAAAGAACCCATTCCAGAACCTATTGCTGAGAAGGAACAGACCCCAGCTTGTGATTGGGGGAATAGCTATCCCAGCATTCCAACAGCTAACCGGGAATAACTCGATCCTCTTCTATGCTCCTGTTATCTTTCAGAGTTTAGGATTTGGGAATGGAGCTTCACTATACTCGTCTGTGATTACAAGTGTTGCCCTTGTCGTGGCTCCTCTCATCTCAATGGCTGTCGTCGACAAGTTTGGCAGAAGAGCTCTATTCTTGGAAGCCGGTGCTGAAATGTTGATTTGCTTGGTAATCTAACAACTCCTTCCATGCAATATACTAACCATAGTTTTGGTGAAATCATAAAACGATCAATGACTCATAAACTAATTGACAATGAATATGCAGGTGGCTGTGGCGATAGTTTTGGCATTAGAGTTTGGAGAAGGGAAACAACTATCAAAAGGGGTAAGCATATTTCTGGTGATAGTAATATTCTTGTTTGTGTTGGCCTATGGAAGATCATGGGGTCCACTGGGGTGGCTAGTTCCGAGTGAGTTGTTTCCATTAGAGATAAGGTCGTCGGCACAGAGTGTGGTGGTGTGTGTGAACATGATCTTCACGGCGCTGGTAGCACAGTTCTTCCTGGTCTCACTGTGCCATCTCAGATATGGGATCTTCTTGCTGTTCGCAGCATTCATTGTGATAATGAGCATGTTCGTATTATTCTTCTTGCCGGAAACAAAGCAGGTTCCGATCGAGGAGATTTATCTTCTATTTCAAAACCACTGGTTCTGGAAAAGATATACAGAGGACAATACCGCCCAGTCGATTGCTTAATGTGGTTCAGTATTGTTGGATGAATAACTGGCCAGGCCAAGTCCTATAAATATCCAATAATCTCTGATCGCGCGTGCGAGGCAACCCATCTTAAGTATCAGATGTGCACGTGCTTCTATTTGCGTGGGATTAGCGATGCTAGCTTAGCTGGTGTTCCGCCAAAGGCAAAAACAATGGCAGATCAACACGTACCATTCGCATTAGGTGTTCTCTTTGTGTGGGATTTTTATATCATTTGTCGAGAAAATCACAAGATTGATTCGTTGCTGTCTTGGCTTTCCTGATGTACCAAAAAAAAAAAAATCACTGTTTAAGATTCGTTTTAATTTCATGTTTTGTTTTAATTTTCTCTTTATTTATTTATCAAGAGAGAAAGTTAGCGAATGAGAGAACATGTAGGTAATTAATACAATGAGAGTAACAAATAATTATTAAAGACAAATAAAATAAAAATTTCAGACGAACTATTATTATGTCTTATAAGTAGGAATATATCAGCTGTAAAAAAAAAAAAATCTCTTATCTATAGAGAGTATTATCTGTTTTGTCGTGGGAACCACTCAAATTCAGATCTTTACAATTATATATTTTTATAAAAGAAAAAAAATTAAAAATGTGGTTGGTCAAATTTATACCTCTATATTGAGGTAAAGATAAATATGTCTCTACTGTTTATACTCCCAATAGCGTTCTTCACTTGATCCTGAATATAGAACCCTCGCGTGTTAGGATGTAACATTTATAGTGTATTGAAAAAAAAAAATCCTTAGAACCTTTTCAATTCACCTTAAAGTGCTCCAAAAAGAACAAAGCCCAATATTATTTTCAGAAGGTTAGTTTAATAAGACACTCATTTAAAAAGAAAACAAGATTATTACCTGATCTTGATATTACTCTTTAATCCGTGTAACTTGAATTAAAAAATTTTATATTAAAGAGTGGAAAAGTACTCCCTCTATTTTAAATTATAATATATTTTTTAAAAAAATTTCATGTTCCAAAGTAAAACATAACACATTTTACGAAAAAACATTGAAGCATTTATGACTATTTTTTGAAAAAAATGTCCTTCATAATTTTAGCTTAACAAACAAATGAAAAGGTGTAGAGGTTAGTCATGAGTCAATGATATTATTATAATATTAAACTCTTTTTGAGAAAATTTAAATATTAAACTACCTTTACTTATTTTTATTGGTATTTAAAATTAACTAAAAACACTTTATAATCTGAAATAGAGGAGGGAGTATTTCTCATAATATCTCTCTCTTTTCTTTCCATGGGAGAACGTACATACCCATTCACTCCTTAAAACAAGTCTGTGGGTGGTCAACATTATGAATAAGTCCGATCGAGCTCCAAGACTCAATCATCTCTGTTTTTTTTGCCCCCAATCCAAGACTCAATTATCATTTCATAATTTCATTGACTAGAAGCTTTGAACTTAATAAGCTTGATTAGATACATAATCTGAGAAATAATAAGTCCCCTTGTTTATAACTTAAACGACAGTTTGCCAAAAGTAAATAGTAATGGTTCTTATCACAGCCAAAAAAAGGGACTGCCCAAATAAAGGTATGCAATATTTGGAGAAATAAATAACTGTTTTCTTTAATGAGATGTTAATTTCAAAACTTTGCCTTTGTTTAATTATATATATGTATATATTCTATCCACAAGATTTGTATCATATAAAGATATTGATTAAGAGCCTTTCAATTGTTTAATATTAAATCCAATTCCATGAATATCGTCCAAAAACATAGAATAATAATCTCATTTTGCGGTTTTGGCTTTGTTTATTATTTAATTAAATGGTAATTATTTATTAATTTGTTAATCTGTGTAAATAATTTCGAAATGGCTATTGATTACAAATGAAGAAAGTGTTATATTTAGAGTTTGTCATATACTTTCCAGTACGACATGGTCAGAAAGATTTATCTTCTATTACAGAAGCACTGGTTCAGGAGTAAATTTTTAGGACATTTCTCAACTATGAGTATTATAGTTATAGGCTCGTTCTTCGGATTCGTTTAGTCAAAAATTAAAATTTTTATTCTAAATTTTTTAAGCTGAAATAACTTTGTCAAAAGCAAAACAAATTTAAAGTTTACATATGAAAAAAGTTTTAGACGGGAAATTAGGGCTAAAATAACGGAACATATAGAGCTCCGATAATGAGAAACACGTTTGATTCAGAGGTATACGTAAACTGGATCTTAATTAAGGTTAATGAACGCTGTATACAAACTGTAATGACTCACACTTAACCATTTTCTGTTTTCAAATTCTATCTCATTACAATCACATTAGTATTTAAGCATAGATCGTCCCGTAAGGTGACACAGACATTCAAATTACGAAAATCAATACTGACAAAAGAAAATGGCTGCTGGAGGATTTACCGGTGCCGGAGGCAGAAGGGCTCATCTTTATGAGTACAAGATTACAGGCTACTTCGTCTTCTCTTGTATCGTCGGTGCTATGGGTGGCTCTCTCTTCGGCTACGATCTTGGTGTTTCCGGTGAGTACCTACTCACACACACGTAATTAATTGGTCTGTCATATGTACATTCATGATTTATTATATATCTGTGATGTGAAGGTGGCGTGACGTCGATGGACGACTTTCTGAAAGAGTTCTTCCCACGTGTATATACGAACAAGCACGCGCATCTTAAAGAGACGGATTATTGTAAATATGATGATCAGATATTAACACTGTTCACTTCGTCTCTGTACTTTGCGGCCCTGGTTTCGACATTTTTTGCTTCAAGCCTGACAAAGAACAAAGGAAGAAAAGCCAGCATCATCGTCGGATCTATAAGCTTCTTCGTGGGAGCTGTCATTAACGCAGCCGCAATGAACATCGCTATGTTGCTCATTGGTCGTATCCTTCTTGGTGTCGGCATTGGATTTGGTAACCAGGTATCTTCGTTCATTTCATTCAATGTGATCTTTATGCACAAATTAAGGGTCCTTTTCCCATTTAACGTCAGCAGTTTTAAACTACAGGGTGCACGTTAAGTATGTTTGCGTATCAATGATATATATAATAGACTACAAATCATATTTTTCCAGGTTAATTATTTGATAATCTAAGAAAAATACGTATGAACTATTGAAAAACAAATGTGCAGGCCGTTCCATTGTATCTTTCTGAAATGTCTCCGGCAAAAGTACGTGGAGCAGTGAACCAACTATTTCAGTTAACAACTTGTTTGGGAATTTTGGTAGCAACCCTAGTGAACTACGGCACGGAGCAGCTGCATCCATGGGGATGGAGATTATCGCTGGGTTTAGCCACAGTTCCAGCAACGCTAATGTTTATAGGAGGCGTGTTGTGCCCAGAGACACCAAACAGCCTCGTGGAACAAGGCAGAATGGAAGAAGCAAGAACCATACTTGAGAAGATCAGAGGCACCACTAACGTAGATGCAGAATTTGAAGATATGGTCGAGGCAAGCAGAGAGGCTCAGGCTATAAAGAACCCATTCCAAAACCTGTTACTCAGAAGGAACAGACCTCAGCTTGTGATTGGGGGTATAGCTATCCCTGCTTTCCAGCAACTGACCGGGAATAATTCTATCCTCTTCTACGCTCCTGTTATCTTCCAGAGTTTAGGGTTTGGAAATGGAGCTTCATTATACTCATCTGTTATTACCAGTGTTGCCCTCGTCGTTGCTCCTCTCATCTCAATGGCTGTGGTGGACAAGTTCGGTAGAAGAGCCCTATTCTTGGAAGCCGGTGCTGAAATGTTAATCTACTTGGTAATCTATAACAACTTTTCCACAAAACAAAATAACCCTAGCATAGTAAAACTCTTGTGAGATCATTCATAAATAAAGTTAACAATATATATGCAGGTGGCGGTTGCGGTGGTTTTGGCATTAGAATTCGGAGAAGGGAAACAACTGTCAAAAGGGGTAAGCATATTTCTGGTGATAGTGATATTCTTGTTTGTGTTGGCCTATGGAAGATCGTGGGGTCCATTAGGTTGGCTAGTTCCAAGCGAGCTATTTCCATTAGAGATAAGGTCGTCGGCACAGAGTGTGGTAGTGTGCGTGAACATGATCTTCACGGCGCTGGTGGCTCAGTTCTTCCTGGTCTCACTGTGCCATCTCAGATATGGGATCTTCTTGCTGTTCGCGGCGTTCATTGTGATCATGAGCATGTTCGTATTGTTCTTGTTGCCGGAAACAAAGAAAGTTCCAATCGAAGAGATTTATCTTCTATTTCAAAACCACTGGTTCTGGAGAAGATTTACTGAAGATGAACGCTCCCAATCTCCTTATAATACTGTTAATTAATGCTTCTGAACTGGTCAATGAAGAATTCCCATGTATTCCTGTAGAGTCGTCTGATTGTGTATGCGAGGCAGCCTGACCAATGTAATATGCCTGTCTATTTCTGTGATTAAAGATGGTAGCGTTCCACCAAAACAGAAACAATGGGAGTGAGAACACTATTCACATTCAATCTATTTTGTGTGGGATTTTGACGTTATTTATTCCGTGGGAATCACATGTTTCGTTTTAATTACATGCTTTAATTTGTTTTAGAAATAAGAAAAATAGATAATTGAAAGTTAAAAAAACGTAAATAATTCAAATTAAGTTTTCAAGCAGCAACATATAATAATTTGGATCCATTTAATTAATAAGTTATTTTTCCTCACATGAGAAGGACTTAATTTGAACTCTTTACAATTATGCATTCGAAATAAAATAATAAAAGGAAATGCTGTTTGTATATCTCAGTCGGGCCTCGTCAAGAACCATAACCGAATAACGAGGGCCCACAACTCATTCACCTACGTAAAAACAATTTTCCGACATGTCAAGTAATGTTTCACGATATAGTGAAATACTATCTCCATCCTATTTATAGTAAATAATCTAGTTTTTTTGGCCAGCGGAAAGGTAACTTCATTATGTGAAAAACAAAATACAACCACTAAAATAGACCAAAAACCAACTGAACAAAAGTTAGCAAGCAATAAAAAGCTAATGAGAAAACAACCAAAAACCAAGACCAGAAACAACTGAAACTTGAAGAAGGCCAACTTGCATTCCACTATTATCAAATGAACATGCACAAATAGCTTGATCCAACAAGCAATAAAGGTTGCGCGTACTAGTAATTAACTTGTTTATTTGAGATCTCTTCGTGATTTTCCCAACTTGAAATTCATGACAAATTATATAGTCATAAATCATAAACATTTTATCATATTTCTCAAATAATCCTCTGCATGAGAGCCCATCTAATTTTAATCGAAATGCATCATTCAAAGATGGGTTTGTCTTTGGCAAAGGAAAAAAAATGTGTTTGTCAAAAGTCCAAACAGAGCAGCAGGCTCACATGCAACATGGTTATCTTTTACTAGACTTCAATTAAAGTGGAAAAGGATATAGATTATAATTTTATAATTATTTCAACTTAGGATTATAGTGTTGAGTTAATTATTTACTCAGCATCATCAGGTTTTTGTGAGCACAAAAACTTCTCAAAACAGTTTTCACGCTGGGAGAGTTTTTGACTTAAAAGTCATTCTAGCCTATCGCTCATCCAAAATAAGTCCACTCTCTATATTTCTCCCAAACTCACATTTCATACTTCCCAAAGCATGTTTTCTCTTCCAAACGCTGGAACAAACACACTCTTAATTGTGACTTGAGAATTTCATTTTATCTTTATTAGCTTTATTTTCTTAATCTACGTGTACGATCTTGAATAGAGCAACTATTGTTTGAAAACAAATGAAGTATTATATTTTGTGTTTGATATATATTTATGCTACAAGCATATATGAAATAGGACAAAGTCATCAAGTTCTATTTCAAGAGTACTGGTTGTATAGAATAACTGTGCAGAGAATTATACCTCGAATGAACATTATATAGAGTCGTCCATGACATGGGTTTGAATCAAAATTAAAGTATTGTATGAATTTTGAATTTAAAATTTTTTTGTAAAAAACGTCTTTAATTTATATTTTATTCATGGTAAAATAAAAATAAATTAAAAGATAAAAACAAATACGTTTGATTTAGAGGTATATAAAAGATCTCCAGGTCGCACTGGATCTTAAATTAGGCTTATGAACAGCGCATACAAACCAAAATGACCCACATTCAACCTTTTTCTGCTTTCAAATTCTATCTCTTCACAAACACATTAGTATTTAACCATAGTTTGTCCACAGGGTAACACACAGACATTCAAATTACGAAGAAAATATCGACAAAACAAAATGGCCGGTGGAGGATTTACCGATGCCAGGAGGCAAAAGGTCCCATCTTTGCGAGTACAAGATTACAGGCTACTTTATCTTTTCCTGTATCATCGGTGCTATGGGTGGCTCTCTATTCGGCTATGATCTTGGAGTTTCTGGTGAGTTCCTGCTTTTATATATATATATAGTTAGTTAGTTGCGGCGCATGTAAGCTTCATTCATGAATTACATATTTGTGAAGGTGGTGTGACGTCGATGGATGACTTTTTAAGAGAGTTCTTCCCACGTGTGTATGCCAACAAGCACGCACATCTTAAAGAGACAGATTACTGCGAGTACGATGATCAGATATTAACTTTGTTCACTTAGTCTCTGTATTTTGCGGCCCTGGTCTCGACATTTTTTGCTTCGAGTTTGACGAAGAAGAGAGGCAGAAAAGCCAGCATCATCGTCGGATCTATAAGCTTCTTCGTGGGAGCTGTCATTAACGCAGCTGCAATGAACATAGCCATGTTGCTTGTCGCCCGTATCCTTCTTGGTGTCGGCATCGGATTCGGTAACCAAGTATATGTTCATTCATTCATTTTGTACTGTTAACATAAAAAGTTAAGGACCCTAACGGCAAAAGCACTAAACCTGTATCTATATGTGTGTGCGCGCGCGCGGGCGCGCGTGACTTCAAAAGATAGGCTAATTAAAATTGAAAAATTGAGAATTCTGCTAAATGTTTTAACTTACTTCACTTTCATGTTACAATTACTGTACCATGGGTTGCATGTCATCAAGGATGTGTGCTTATCAGTAATAGACTATTAATATTTTCCCATTTTAATTTTTTCATTTTAAAAAATGTTTCAAAACAAATATATATATGCAGGCCGTTCCATTGTACCTTTCTGAGATGTCTCCTGCAAAAGTACGAGGAGCAGTGAACCAACTATTTCAGTTAACAACCTGTTTGGGAATTTTGGTAGCGACCTTGGTGAACTACGGCACCGAGCAGCTGTATCCATGGGGATGGAGATTATCCCTTGGTTTAGCCACAATTCCAGCAACACTAATGTTTATAGGAGGCGTCCTGTGCCCAGAGACACCAAACAGCCTCGTGGAACAAGGCAGAACGGAAGAAGCAAGAACCATACTTGAGAAGATCAGAGGCAACGCTAACGTAGACGCAGAATTTGAAGATATGGTCGAGGCAAGCAAAGAGGCTCAGACCATAAAGAACCCATTCCAAAACCTATTGCTAAGAAGGAACAGACCTCAGCTTGTGATTGGGGGTATAGCCATTCCTGCTTTCCAGCAACTAACCGGGAATAATTCTATCATCTTCTATGCTCCTGTTATCTTTCAGAGTTTAGGATTTGGCAATGGAGCTTCTCTATACTATTACTAGTGTTGCCCTTGTTGTGGCTCCTCTCATCTCAATGGCTGTCGTCGACAAGTTCGGCAGAAGAGCCCTATTCTTGGAAGCCGGTGCTGAAATGTTAATCTACTTGGTAATCTATAATAACAACTTCTCCATACTATAAAAAAATAACCCTATTGGTAAAATTATAACGTGATCATTCATAAATGAAGTTGATGACATATATGCAGGTGGCAGTGGCGGTGGTTTTGGCATTAGAATTTGGAGAAGGGAAACAACTATCAAAAGGGGAAAGCATATTTCTGGTGATAATGATATTCTTGTTTGTGTTGGCCTATGGAAGATCGTGGGGTCCATTGGGTTGGCTAGTTCCGAGTGAGCTATTTCCATTACAGATAAGATCGTCAGAACAGCGTGTGGTGGTGTGTGTAAACATGATCTTCACGGCGCTGGTGGCTCAGTTCTTCCTGGTCTCATTGTGCCATGTCAGATATGGAATCTTCTTGCTGTTTGCGGGGTTCATTGTGATTATGAGCATGTTCGTATTATTCTTGTTGCCGGAAACAAAGAAAGTTCCCATTGAAGAGATTTATCTTCTATTTCAAAGCCACTGGTTCTGGAGAAGATTTACTGACGAGGATCCTTCCCAATCTCCTTCTAATACTGCTAATTAGTGCTTCTGTGCTATCCAGTGAAGAATTCCCATATATTCCTGTAGAGTAGTCTCGTTTTGTGTGCGAGGCCGCCTAACCAATGTAATATTCCGATATATATCTCATGTTATTCATCATCTCTTTTACTTTTTCTTTGGTTCCCCCCCCCCAATCTGAACGTATACGTAGTTACGTACATTCTGTCCTAAATATGTAGAAAGTCTATATATAGATTATCAAATGCTCAGCCAATTAATTAAAGCCCACAACTGCAAGCTTCCTTCCCCAACTTCGAGTAACCTGCAATCCCCCTCCCAGTTATAAAATCTTTTATTTTCTTGGTAAAAGAAAAAAACCTATAATCCCAGTTTGACATTATGTTAAAGATATATTGTGCAAAATAAACCTCTGGATCTTTATTCATACTTTTGAGTAATGTTTTATTTGTATTGAGTCCCTTTTTTTTTTTTGTTATAAGAAAACTTCCCGGCATGTGAATTAATATTTCACTATATAGATATATTACCTCCATCATATTTATAATAAATAAGTGATAGATAAATTTAACTCTTACTTATTTTTTATAAATCGGCTTTAGATATATAGCATTATCAACCAACACCAATGATATGATTATAATAAATATAAAAAGTCACATATTAGTTCCAAATAAATAGATCATTGGAAATATGTGTACATAATAAAACGCAGAGCAAGTTGTAAATTTCTTAACTTAAAATTTTTGAAGGTGTGCATGTAAATAAGACAAAAAAAAAAAAACAAATTCTTCGCCGATATTTATTAGTAAAACTAAGAAATGTACAATTTGCCTATTATGTTTTTCTGCGCAAATTCTTCTTTCTTCATAAGATCTATTAATAATAATTTAACTTCGCAGGACCTATATTAGCAATCTATTGCGGGTCATGTGGCATGATCTGAGATATGATTTGGTCTGTTGGAATTTTTATAACATAAGAGTATATAAATGGCAAAAGCAAACAACAATAATGGTTGTCGTTGTTGGCGAAAAAAATGGTTGTTGTCATAAAAACTTTGTTAAAAAAAAAAAAAAGCAACTCTTGTATGTTGAATTTTGATTTTAATCTAAATTTAAGTCTGGTCAGACCTCAAGGGTACCGGTTCTAGAATAATAAGAAAAATATTACTCCTGTTTTTAATATAAGACTTAATTGAGGAGTTAATGTTGATCCTATATATCGACCTATTTCACATATTTATCATTTTTTTTAAATTAACCTTATTGATATTCTCTTAATAATAATCAAGTAGGAGAGTGAAGGAAGGAATTGAAAAAGATGCTTAAGGTATTTTAAAAAAAACTTATCATATTAACTAATTCAACTTACATTCTTAATCTACTCAAATTAATTAATTAGGTCTTATATTAAAAACTGGAAAAGTACTTAGCAAAGTTATCGACTTATTTATCATTCAATCAAACCAACAACAATTAATGATCCGAAACCTGTTCTTTGTTATCAATCATCACTTGAGAATTGCACTTTATATTTGTTTATTAATTTTCTTAATCTGCGAGTATAACGTTGAAGTAACTATTGTTTGAAAACTATATTTGGTGTTTGATATATATTTCATATGCTACAAGAAAACATGCATGAAATAGGACACAGTCACCAAAATTTATCTTCAATCTCAACAGTGCCGGTTCTAGAATAATTGTGCAGAGCGTACCTCGTCTGAGTATTATATACACTCGTCCACGGAGATGGGTGAGTCAAAATTAAAACATTTTATTAATTTTAAGTTAAAATATTATTTTTCTCAAAAACTTCTTCAATTTATATTTTGTTCATGGTAAACGAACAAATTTTAGAAGATAGAAAAATAAATAGGTTTGATTATGAGGTAGGGGTGTGTGTGCATATAGAAGATCATATCCAGCACTGGATCTTAGTTAAATATGGTTTACGGACACCGCATATATGCAAATTAAAATCACCCTCATTTAACCATTTTCTGTTTTCAAATTCTATCTCTCCGCAAACACATCAGTATTTAACCATAGTTCATCTGTAGGGTGACACACAGGCATTCAAATTGCGAACAAGATATTGATAACATAAAATGGCTGGTGGTGGATTTACCGATGCCGGAGGCAGAAGGGCTCATCTTTACGAGTACAAGATTACAGGCTACTTCGTCTTTTCCTGTATAGTCGGTGCTATGGGCGGCTCTCTATTCGGCTACGATCTTGGCGTTTCCGGTGAGTTCCGGCGATCATATATATATCTGTGGGCGTGTAATTTGTTTGTCACCGTACGCGTATGGTTCATTATATTCATGAATTATATGTTTGTGAAGGTGGCGTGACATCGATGGACGACTTTCTACTAGAGTTCTTCCCGCGTGTATATGCCAACAAACACGCGCATCTTAAAGAGACAGATTACTGCAAATACGATGATCAGATATTAACGTTGTTCACTTCGTCTCTGTACTTTGCCGCCCTGGTTTCCACATTTTTTGCTTCGAGTCTAACAAAGAACAAAGGCAGAAAAGCCAGCATCATCGTCGGATCTATAAGCTTCTTTGTGGGAGCTGTCATCAATGCGGCTGCAATGAACATTGCCATGTTACTCATTGGGCGTATCCTTCTTGGTGTTGGCATCGGATTTGGTAACCAAGTATGTTACATTTATTCATTAATCTTGTTAACATGCAAATTAAGGATCCTTTTGTGTTTAACGTCAAAAGTGCTAAACCTATATACATATGATTCCGAAAGATAGGCTAATTAGAATGCTAATTTTTTTTTTTTGGGGGAAAAAATGCTTCAAAAACAAATATGCAGGCCGTTCCATTGTATCTTTCTGAAATGTCTCCGGCAAAAGTACGAGGAGCGGTAAACCAACTATTTCAGTTAACAACTTGTTTGGGAATTTTGGTTGCAACCTTGGTGAACTATGGCACCGAGCAGCTGCATCCATGGGGATGGAGGTTGTCTCTTGGTTTAGCCACAGTTCCAGCAACACTAATGTTTATCGGAGGCGTCTTGTGCCCAGAGACACCAAACAGCCTGGTGGAACAAGGCAGAATGGAAGAAGCGAGAACCATACTCGAGAAGATCAGAGGCACCACTAACGTAGACGCAGAATTTGAAGATATGATTGAGGCAAGCACAGAGGCTCAAGCTATAAAGAACCCATTCCAAAATCTATTGCTAAGAAGGAACAGACCTCAGCTTGTGATTGGGGGTATAGCTATTCCTGCTTTCCAGCAACTAACTGGGAATAACTCAATCCTCTTCTATGCTCCAGTTATCTTTCAGAGTTTAGGGTTTGGAAATGGCGCTTCATTATACTCGTCTGTTATTACCAGTGTTGCCCTCGTCGTGGCTCCTCTCATCTCAATGGCCGTCGTCGACAAATTTGGCAGAAGAGCCCTATTCTTGGAAGCCGGTGCTGAAATGCTAATCTACTTGGTAATATAATTGTACAAACCTTCCATATATTAACCCTAGTGTGACGATTCCTAAATCAAGTTGATAATATGTATGCAGGTGGCTGTTGCAGTGGTTTTGGCATTAGAATTCGGAGAAGGGAAGCAACTCTCAAAAGGGGTAAGCATATTTCTGGTGATAGTGATATTCTTGTTTGTGTTGGCGTATGGAAGATCGTGGGGTCCACTGGGGTGGCTAGTTCCGAGCGAGCTCTTTCCTCTGGAGATAAGGTCGTCGGCACAAAGCGTGGTGGTGTGCGTGAACATGATCTTCACGGCGTTGGTAGCTCAGTTCTTCCTGATCTCACTGTGCCATCTCAGATATGGAATCTTCTTGCTGTTCGCGGGGTTCATTGTGATCATGAGCATGTTCGTATTATTCTTGTTGCCGGAGACAAAGAAAGTTCCCATTGAGGAGATATATCTTCTATTTCAGAACCATTGGTTCTGGAAAAGATTTACAGAGGATGACCCTTCGCAATCGCTTCAAAATAGTATTGCCTAGATCTTCAAATGAAGGCCAATTCCTATATGTTGCTGTACAGTAATCTGATGACGGGTGCGTGGCTGGCAGCCCTCCTATTGTAACAAATGAAGGTGACTTTCTATTTCCGTCGGAAACAAAAGCAAGGGGAGTGAGAACACTATCGGCATTATGATTTAATGTTGTGTCACGAACTGTATATAACTTGTCCCGGAAACCACAATATTCTTTTTAATTTGATGTTTTCTTGGGCAGCCGCTGACTGAAGCATACGCTTGATCGCTTCTTACGCCAAACGGCCTCTATTTAAGACAAAACTTCTTTTGCAGAATAACACGACATACATTTTTTTTTTTAACCATGCACATATGTCTTTTTATTGGATCTTATCTGTTCGATATGATATATTATCAGATACTAAAAATAACCAGATTAACCTCATCACATTACAGGGACGTGAAATTACTTTTGAAGCATCTATTATGTCACCCATGTTTGCATGGGGAACACCCACTAAGTGATTAGTTGACCGATTAACCGTTTAAACAGTGGGCTTGGCCTACTAACCCATTTTTTAAGTCTACTAATAAACATGTGAGCCCACTGCTAATTGGTCCTGTAAACAACCTCCAACACATCATATCACTGTTTTGTTGGATCTTTTTGTTTTCGGCAGCAATACTATTTCACTGTAAAATTATATCACTCTAGCAACCAATATTAATATTTAAAATGTGAATATAAATTTTATAAAACATCACATTGTTTACTGATTATAAATATTTTTATTATGATTACAATTTTTTAGGTTTATAATTGATTATATAATAATTGACAATTACGTTTTCAAAATTTAACAGAAAATATTCATTCATTAAATTGCAACTACCCATAAGTCCTAATGTATATTAAAAATATTAGTTAATATATAAATTATAAATAATATGATGTATTGTAAATTTTATATTTTATATTAGTGATTGCGCTATTGAGTATTTTATTAAATACATTATGCATGGAGAATCCTTCTTTCTCATTTTCTTCCTAAAATCTCATCTTTATTGGTACTTAAGTGAAGTACAAATTTTAACGAAGTTGCCTATTCGTTTGAAGCAAAGAAAATGAGTAATATGGTAATCTGCATTGAAAAAATGAATTGAGAAAAGCAAGTAAATGCAAAGTTAAGTAGCTAATAATTTTTTATGGTTCAATAAAATAGAAGGCCACCATTATCCGTACGTACTGTTGCCAACACTCAACACATAAGCCAGAATTGCATTTGACCATAATAATAAACACGCAAATTTTTTCGCCATAATCAATTAAAACGTCATCAGTAACAAAGAGCCAAGCTATACCAATTTAAAAACGAAAAACGAAAAAAAGAAATAGAGAAGGAACAAGTCCACCTACTTCTACGGAAAAAAAAAGGGACAAAAAAACAGAGATATACGGTGACTTTGATTTGATTCGAAGACTTCATGAAAAGTCTACTAAAAGACTCAGCAATCAGCAGGCTTGACCTGTTCGAGCTTGCTGTCTCCCACCTTGTCCGGCTCTGCAACTGTATCTCGGTGACGCTGTCCCACATAATTCTTCCAGAACCAGTGATTCTCAAATAGCAGATATATCTCTTCAATCGGCACCCTCTTCGTCTCCGGCAAGAAGAAATACACCACTGTGCACATTATCACTATCAACGCCGCAAACAGCAAGAAGATGCCATACTTGAGATGGCACAATGAAGCCAGAAACAATTGAGCCACCAACGCCGTGAAGATCATGTTCACACACACCACCACACTCTGCGCCGACGACCTTATCTCCAATGGAAACAGCTCGCTCGGAACCAGCCACCCTAACGGACCCCATGATCTTCCATAGGCCAACACGAACAGGAATATCGCCGCCACCAGAACTGCAGCTGTAGGTTTTGACAGTTCTTCCCCATGCCCAAAATATTTAGCCAAAATTGAAGCCACAAGTACCTGCACACGTTTGTGAGTGCCATTCATGTATTTATAATTGTAATTGTAAATATATGAAAAAGAGATTGGTTATAGTTGTGGGTTACCATGTATACTATCATTTCAGCACCAGCTTCTATGAAGAAGCCTCTCCTTCCGAATTTATCGACTAAAGCCATAGAGATGAGAGTGCCAACAATGAGTGCCAAACTAGAGATGAGTGATGAAAGCAGGGATGAACCGGAGCCAAAACCCAGACTCTGGAAGATGACCGGAGCATAGAAGAGAATGGAGTTATTTCCGGTGAGCTGCTGAAAAGCAGGGATACACAGAGCTCCGATCACAAACTGAGGCCTGTACTTTCTCTTGATAAGGTTTCGGAATGGGTCTTTCACGGCCTGTGCTTCTTTGCTGGCATCGATCAGGTCTGCGAACTCTGCTTCCACGTTGTCAGTTCCTCTCACTTTCTTCAGCACTCGTCTTGCTTCTTCTAACCTGCCTTGTTCCACTAGACTGTTAGGTGTCTCTGGACATAAAATGCCTCCGATCAACATGAGAATCGCCGGGACTGCGGCCAACCCCAGCGAGATTCTCCACCCATGAGGATGAACTTTATCTGTGAAGTAATTAATGACGTTCGCTACCAAGATTCCGGCGCATGTTGTGAACTGAAACAGTTGGTTCACCGCTCCTCGGATTCTTGCAGGTGACATCTCCGACAAGTACAAAGGAACAGCCTGACAAATGACAAACAAAAAAAAATCAATCATATCATCTCTCAATTGATCATACGTAATAAATTGGGGGGGGGGGGTTTAAAGAGAGTGAGGTACTTGATTGCCAAATCCGATGCCGGCGCCCAGAAGGATCCTGCCAATGATGAGCATGGCGATATTCTGGGCGGCTGCATTGAGGATAGCTCCGGCGAGAAAGCTGAGGGCACCAGTGATGATGCTGGCTTTTCTTCCCTTCCATCTGGTAAGGTAGGAAGCTCCAAACGTAATCACCAGGGCCGCGAAATAGAGGGAGGAAGTGAACAGTGTCAGAATCTGGTTGTCATATTTACAGTAATCTGTTTCCTTCAGATGTGAATGCTTTCTTTCGTAGACATGTGGGAAAAATTTGATCAAGAAATCATCCATAGATGTCACTCCTCCTGAAAAAGGAAGACATGTCAACTTTATCCAAACGATTTACGAATCTACTTGGGGAAAAAAATCAACGATTAGTGTATAGGAAATTAAACATCTTTTTAATTAAATAATGAATATTTTCCCAGTACGTAACTTAGCGATCAATAACAAACTCTTGGAGCCCTGCTCCAGGAAACGTTTCAGACTGGATTGAGAAACAGAGTAACTCCGATTGATTATTATTTAATAACAGAAAAAACAGAGCACTAATGCAATCGCTTCTACTAAGCAATTATTAGAAAGAAAATTGAATCATCAGTGTCAATTCAGTGTTCAACGAATTACTAAGAACCGGTTTCGTCCAAAATTCATGACAAAATGAAAATTAGACTCATAAGAAATCATGTAACAGAGATGATATAAGAGAGACAGAAGGAGGAATAGAGCACCTGAAACACCAAGATCATAACCAAAAAGTGCACCACCCACGGCACCAACTATGCAGCTGAAGATCAAATAACCGGTGACCTTATATTCATACGAGGCCGCCCGTTGGCTGACTCTGGTATCCATCCCCCCGCCGGCCATGGCTCTTCCTCTTCACCGGAGATTTTGGAGCTCAGCAAGATTTATAAGAAAGGCACACTCATACAGCTTGAGTACTGCAGCCTTTATATATATACAAGGCAGGTGCTCTTCTATCATAATAAAATCAAAAATGGAGATTGCGATGGAGATTGAAGAGATACTCGCACCCAAATACTATACTACTCTGTTTTAAATAATTAACAAATCAAGAACATTTTATTAATAATTTAATTTATCCTATTCCAGTAAATTAAACGTATATATGTATAGTTGTCCTTTTTTAAAAAAATTTTATCACAGAAATTCAATTGGTTAATGAATTTAAAACTTTAATAGATGAATGTAAATCTTTTTTGAGATAGGATTCTGAGAATCATTTGTTACCATTTTTAAGATTATATAAGATGAGATTTGTCGTCATAACTTATTAAAGAAGTCTATGCTGACTGTGGTATTTATCACAACAGATAAACACGAAATGCTTAAAAAATCTAATTTAATCACCCCATTTTAGTTTATGGTAAAATCTCATCCTATTACTTAATTATTAATTATATATAACCAATATATTATTTACCGATGTTTAAGACATACTATTTTTGTTTTGTAAATATATCATATCATTTTGAATATTATTTGACAACAAAATATAAGGTATTACATTTTAGTGCAAAAGATGAGTTATTGTGAATAAGCTGCTCCTTCATATGTGTGCGCGCGCGCGCAATCAATAGATTATATATAAACTATAACAAGAAGAAGGTTACATAAAAAATTTTATTGCTTTGAAAAAAAAATTAGCACAACTAAAAAAACAGTATTTTGAATACATCATATACCTTGGCAAAAATAAATTTTATATAATCTTAAAAAATTATTAATACAAAACAAAAGGTTTTAGTGAACCTTTTTTTAATAGAAGCTTTAGATAAAAGATGATAATAGCCCATAATCTTTTGCTAGAAATAATAAGATAATAAAGATATTTGTTAAGATAAAATAGATATTGATATAATTCCTATTATAACTAATCTAATAACGATGAGACTGTGAGAGAATATACGAAATTCTCAACAAACTTCTCTCTCATGCACAATGCGTGATATATATATATGTGTGCGCGCGCGCGTGTTTGTTCCGACAGTTCAATATTGACAAGAGGACGTAACGACGCAAGGTCCCCCAGCAGCCCATGGTTACCAGGTTTATGATTTTGGGGGTTTGGTTCCTCTCAAAATCTGTTTTTTTTTGTGGTTTGGATCCTCTCACAATTTTTTTTTTCTTTTTCTTTTCAGAATCTCATCTTCACTGTTAGATTAAATAATAGATAGTTCAGATTTAATATTTTAAAAAATAGACACTCACTTTCTCTCTCCTATTTATATAATGTTATAATAATAATTCTATAAAATATTAAATCTGAATAATCTATTATTTGATCCAATAACAGATATCAAATATTGAAAAGAAAAAGAGAAAGACAAGAAAAAGAGGAGAAAGAACGTGAACATCTACTTCTTAAAATATTAAATTGAACTATCTATTATTTGATCCAGTGAAAATGAAATTCTGAAAAGAAAAAAAGAAAAAAGAATTTTGAGAGAATCCAAACCCATGACATTTGTTCACATAAAGAAAGCTCATGAGATTTGAAACTCAGTAAAATGAGAAAAAATAACATTGGCAAAAGGCTTCCAAGTAAGCATGATTTAAATCTAAATAATACTCCACTTCTAAAGATGAATTTTCGTTATAAATGTGCCTAAAAAATCCATATTTTTCATTATATTTAATTTTTTTCCAAACCAATTCATCTATCAAATCATATTTATTAAAATTAAAAAATTTATTTAACTTCCTTAAGTTACTAAACCAGTTAAGCAGCTCTTGCTTAAGGATGATACATCTGCGCACGGGACCCAGTTTTGCGCAGTTGGCATATACGCTTCCGCTTGGTGTGTTCATCTGATCAAAGCCCTTTCACACATTGAGCATGATGCATGCAGAATCGAACCCATAACTAAAAGATGAACCAACATGCTCTAACCAAATGAAAAATACACAGAAGAATGCTAGCAGCTGAATGAGGGAAAAAAAAAAACAATACTGCTAACAAATGTACAATATAAATCTCTATCATGTCAAAAGCTTTGCAAGCTCATCGACACCTAATGTTCCCTGTGGTACTACATTCAAACACGGCCCATCAAAATCTTCTTTTCTTCGAATTTTAATACTCTTCTCCTTACCTTTCATCGACGAATCACTCATTTCTTTCTTATCTGAGCTCCTAATTTCCTGCTCGTCCGTGCCAGTATCACTTTTCTGAACCATGGTTTTTCTATGCGGAAGCCTAAATTCCGGTAGAGGAGGAGCTGATTTGGCTAAGGCAACGGATCTTCGATAAACAATATCAGCATCCAAAGATCCATCATCTAAAATAAGCGCACTCCCGCTCTCAACAGCTTGCTCCAACAGTAATAAAATGCCTTTTGTACATGGCGCAGGATCTACCTTGGCCTCACTAGAATTATCACTAGTTTCATCCTCCTCAATGATAACTTCCTCATCACTTTTGGAGCATCTATTATAATCAGATGAGGTTGTAACTGGACTAGGGTTCATGCTAGGATCCAGCTCCTCGCAGGAGCCATGGAACTCTGTTGTGACTTCAACTTCATTGGTTCTCTTAACAAGTGAAGTTGCATCAGTAAATACAGACCCAGACAGGCTGATGTCTTCCGTGGGATATGGCACCTCAACCTTCTGTGTACTCACATCCCCTGAACTCTGGGAAATGCTGGAGTCACGCTCTTCAGGGCTTGCATGTTCTTCTAGAGCATCTGGAGGCAATGTATTGGAGTTCTTAATGTTGGAACCACTTTTGTTAGCTTCCTTGCTGTTATCACTAAGACGTGGTAAAGCAGAAACCCAATCTCGTCCTCTCCACATAAGTATGTGCTCATTTTCAAATGATAGCAGTACACATGGAACAAGATCCTACAAACAAGGAATGCACAAGAAAGATATTTTATGTCATAATTCATAACACACATGATTAGCCCAGCATAAAAATTTAAAAAAAAAAAAAAAAGATTCAGTCCGTATAATTTTCAAAGGCAAATGTGAAATTGCTTATACCTTGAGCTTTGCTCCAATTCTTCTGTAGTCGCTTGGATTCAGTCCCTGACAATTAATACGAACTAGTTCACACTCTTCAAATGCCTCCCTTACATTTCTTACGAGGTCACAGTAAACCCCATTTTTTGCTGTAGCCAGTGAAGATGGCCAAAATGTTAGTTTGCCAGAAGAATAAACAATCATCTTCGTTTCTTATTTACTTGTTAAGCAGTCATGGACATTCAAAAGAGAATACCTAGTTTGCGTATGGGAATAAGTTGTCTTCCCTTTTTACGCATTTCAGTTGCCTCTTCAAGAGTTAGACCTGCTGGAGTTCGCTGAACTAACCTCGGATATACTGGAGGGATAGGTTTCCACAGCATGAGAGGGAACCGAGGTCGTGTTTTGTAATTGTAATTCCTACCTCGGAAGAGGTATAGAACGCCACCCTTTCTGTAAATAATTTTCCCTCCAGTCCTTTCCTGGAAAAAAAGTTCGACATGACATGATGCAAGAACTTAAGAAAAATGATCAACTTCCTTTCTCTTTTTCTCTTTTGATTGAGGAGTCCATGGAGCACAGACAATAAATAAATCAGGGGAAGATCAAAGAGAACAAATAAAGAAGTCAAAGTTCAAGCCCACTAAGAAGCCAAAGATGTTGCTAGTGAAAAAGGGAGAGTGAAAGAGCAACCAACCAAATTGTCTTTCATCCCCTTATAAACTAAACTATTCTAAACAGCACTAGGAAACATGATTCAGAATTTCTCCTATATGAAATGCTGACCATCACGACTTAACATTCAATCAAGCCACTAACATTTCACTGGAAAGAGCTTTAAGGGATAAAAAAAGTGAATAGCTGAAAGGAAACATTTACAATAGCAATAAAGACAGAACAAAACATCCAGTAAACTTCTTATTGCATGGGAATGAAATTTACAAAGCCAATGAATTAGTATTAACAAAGCATGAAGGATGAGAGGAGATAAGCACAAGAACCAACCTCTAACTGCTGGCACACATTATTCATGTCAACGGTGCAAACCCCTTTGCACTTTATCTTGCACACCCTCCGCCGTTTCCAGTGAGCATGTATGTTGTCCAACATGTTATGTGTCAAACCATCCCTGCCTAAAAGAGAAATATGAACGCATATTAAAAAAATATTTTATTAATAATGTATTAAAGATAAGTGGATTAAAGTTGTCTCCTTTTCGTGTTATCTATCCCCCTAGAATACTAGATACATTATATAACTGCTTAACATCAAAGCAAGCACATCCTGCTCGCAAGGTTTAAAATTTCAATACATCTGAAAGAAATAATGTAACTAAAAAAATAACCACGTTAATGTATAGCTAAAAATAAATGTAACTAAAAAAGGTACCAATGTTTAGCTGTCTTTTTGTTTTCCTACACCCTTTAACCAATTCATCGATCTCCTCTTGTGTCAATGGCGCGCCCAGGACCTCCTCTCTCGACTGCACGTACCTAGGGCCCGTCCCGGGTAAAAAAGGACCGGGCTTCTGAACCGGCTTAACTCCCTTCTTATGCGGAGGCGGTAGCACGAACGAATCGAATTCCTTCAGCTTCTTCTTGCTTGGGGGCAACGGAGCTCGACCGGTCCACGGGCGCGGCACCGTGGTCGGACCGAAAGGGACGAACGGCGGTTCCCGCATCTTTAGGGGCTTCACTTTCGGAGTCTCGGTGTAGCTGTACTTGAATTCAAATGGAGCGCCGTCAATCACATAGGTGACTCCATCATCTGCCACTTTAACATTAGGAGGTGTGCGCACAACTGGTGTTTCTCTGGGATTAGGTATATTGGAATACCGAAAAGCTGGGTGAGATTCCACACTGGGTTTTGGGGGCTTGGAGTACTTGGATTTTTTCCCAGGGATTGAGGGTCTGGAAGGAGCGGAAGGTGTACCAATGGACCTGAATGTTTCAACCGATGAAGAAGTAGGAGAAGAATCGTCATCCATATTGGCAATCTTGTTAGCAGAGTCGAAGCGGCGCTCGCGGCGGATATCATCTTCGATTTGCTGCTGCGTCCGTCGACGAATGTTGAATCTCTCGGCGTTGGCGTTGTTCCACCGAGAGAACCGAACTTCCGAAGACGGCCGATGCGGTGGGGGCTGAGAAGAACTGGGGTTGGGGTCTGGCGCCAGGAAAGGGAACCGGACTGCCAACTTCAGCGCCATAGCTGATAAGATTTTTGTCGCTTTACATTTCGAGCGCAAAGCTGCTGTTGTGTGTGAAATGTAAATGACAGAACGCTATAGCCTAGCGCCATGAGATTCTTTTTTTTTTTTTTTGGTTACAAAGTAGGTGAGTTACAAATTATTTATAAATTATGATCAAATTTAGGAAGTCAGGTTATAAATTATGACAAGTTTTTGACGGGAATAAATTATGAGAAGTTTTAATTTCGAACAATTGATTTTTTTTTAAATGAAAGGTGAGTTGCAAATTGCTCATAAATTAACATTGAAGTTTTAGAAGTTACCTAGCAAGTTATAAGAAGTTTCAAGCATGCAATTGATTGGATTATTTTTCAAAGTTAACTATTTTCTACATATGAATGCAGAGAATCAAGTTGCTCCTGGTAAAAAAAAAGAGAGAATCAAGTTGCTCGCACTTCTCCGAAGTCCAGAGAACTCATAGTTATGTGGCATCCCTCGAAGCATCTCTGATAAATAGGGTGCAAATGTAGTGAGGGAATATAAAATAATTGATGGGAGTATAAATAACTGATACCGTAATCCAAAAATAATTCACAGCAAATGCTGACTCGCGGGATCGCTTGCTAGTACAGATAACCACAGGCGGGGCCATCCATCCACGGTCGATATAATATTAAAATGATGCATTAAAAGCGATCAGGATAACGACCAGAAATTGCCCCATCTTCATGGAGATCACACACCTTGCTTTATTTCCAGTCGGTCCCAACCTGCATCACTATTGTGACTGCTGTGCCTTGCATTCCGCTGAATCCATCTTTTCCCTTGTTCCATGTTGGTCTTGATAGTGGACTGTGGACTACTCACTGTGTTTGTATCCGGCTATTTGCAGATTGCAGCCACCTTGATTATTGAGCTGGGAACATCTTCAAGGTTTAAGCCTCTCTATTTGTATTCGGTTTTTTGTGTTCTCTTTTGGCAGCTTGGCCACGCAAAGCTTGGATCTATCTGTTTCTTTCAGAAAATCTATATGTTGTTTGTCCTTTATCCGTAGTGATACTGGATACTGTTTCTGTTGCCCCTTTTTTTCCCGCCTTTGATACATGACTATGGTCACGAAATTCTTAAAGCTTGGTCAGTTAATTCTTTGAGAACTCATACCTTACTCTTCATGTATAACTTGGTGATTATTGGTTATCAATAGAGATGCAAAACTAGGAAAGCTTCAATCTTAGCAGAACATCTTCCAGAGTTATTTCAACAGGAACTGGACTGCAGCAGACGTTTTAAATCCTTTTTCTTGCGAGTTTCCTGCTTGTTCTTTGGATCTGTAGGCGTTGTTTCATTCTGCAGGAAGTGAAGGTGACTAAGATATTGCTAGTTCACTTGCCCGTATTTAATCAATAAGGAGTCTAATCTGAGGGGACCTATCTTCTCAGACCAATGGCAATTCTCTGATTAGATTTTTCTAATTGATGGATGACATACACGACAATCTTTTGAGATTGACAAGTTTCTTCAATGATCGTTTCATACAATTCATTGGTGAGTTCTTGCTAGTCACAAAAAATGTAAACAGACATGACTTCCCAAGAATTATGTGCTGTTCGAAGTTATTTTCATGTAAAGCGTGATCAAGCTATATTCTGCTTGCTGCCAATATTGCAGAGAATCTTGTACTTAGAGATTTAGATAGATGGAAAGAAGATTTTGTCATCAATCCAGCGGTTATTTCTTCAGTATATTGTACAAAAAGTTACACCAGCAGCTCACCTTCACAGCCTCAAACAGTTAGTCCAAACCATGATATCTATGAAAGGAGCATTTTTAATAGTACCAATGATACAGGATCTGTAATTTTACATAACAGTTATGCTACTATCATTGTTCCTTTATTTCTAAAAGGGTAATGATCTTTTTTCCTCCTTTATGGTTAAATTTACACTTCAAAAGGATTTCCCGGCTAACTTTCCGAGAAGTCAAGTATGTAAATTAAACCTTTCAGATTAAATGCTTATGTTAGATGAAGTGGAATGGCCAATATCTTGAACTTTTTCCAATTGCTGCTGGATTTTCTTCACTTGGATGCAGGTTGACACTTCCAATAGTCGGTCTAAAATGTGCTAGTTGTTTAGCAATTTCTCCGTGGAGATATTTTTTCTCATGCATTAGAAGAGCTCAAGTTCAAGTTCACAGGTAAAAGAAGTTGGTCGTTTCAAATCCAAATGGTAGGAACGATGACAGTTTGAAAAATTAGATCTTGCTTCTTTTTTATCATTACTGTTAGTGATCCATAATTATTGGCAACCTCTCAGATTTATATCTCGGGCATGGATAACATTGCGTGGTTCTTCGGATGATATTGGATGGTTGCAACAAGATCCCAGCGTGCCTCCAGTGGAGGATGGTACTGCAAGGTTCTTGGAATTGCTATCAGACGTAAGGTACAATAGCTTGTCATAAAGTCCCAACATCAAATTGACCTCAATGTTGGCTTATTTCTGTACTACTCATTTCCCTTCCGAAGATCATGGTTTTGCTGGTCAATTCTTTCACATTTCAGTTTGTAAGTTGTTGCAGAAATTCGAATGGAGATTCATTCACGTTTGTCAATCTCATAATTATGGACTTTGACATAATATATTTTGGTTTAACTCAACAGGAATGGGAAGCACTCACTACCCAACTCTTTTGTTTATCTCTTGATTCCAGGTACAGTGGGATCCATGCATCATTTTCTATCCTCATTCGTTGTGCCATATGATTCCGACTAACAGATTCGCTTATTTCAGGCCTCTTCAGCAATCATGGACCCTTGTACTTTGTAGCCACTAAGAGATTCTTTTCAAAGATGGGTCTTGCCTGCCACATTGCTAAAGTTCATAGCGAGGTAACTAAGCAGCACGCATCAACCATGGAAATCAATTTTTCTTTCATGCCTGTCAGCCTTTTGCGCAGTTACTGATAACCTTATTTCACTCATAATGCACCAAAAGGAAAATGAAATGTACTTATGTTTGATTTTCCTGTTTTCCCCCTCGTCGAAGGCTTCAGTAGAACACAATGCTTTGGAACTGAAGCTATACATTGAGGAGCTCTCCTGGGGTTCTGGGAAGCGTGTGATGCTTCTTGGACACAGTAAAGGTGGAGTAGATGCTGCGGCTGCATTGTCTCTGTATTGGTCAGACCTGAAAGACAAAGTTGCTGGTTTGGCAGTGGTGCAGAGTCCTTATGGTGGAACTCCTGTAGCTTCTGATATGCTTCGTGAGGACCAAATTGGCGACAAAGAAACTCGCAGAATCATGGAACTTCTTATCTGCAAAGTATTAAGGGTAAGGGGATCATTTCCTACCCTGAAGCTTTCATGCCTATAGTTGCTTATTTCTTGTCTTTATTTAAAATTATAATAAAACTATTAATAGTTTTACTTAAGACCATCAAAACCTGTGCGTTGAAAATTGAAGTTGGTTCTAAGCAATCTTTGTGTCCAGGAATCCTCTTTGACTGATGCAACTGACTTTGGTCCCTTCCCTTTTTTAATTCATTTTCAGTCCAAGATTTCATGTCACGCATCGAAGTTTATTTCTGAAATGATATTTGGTGCCGGTTCTTGTGCTTATTTGTGTACCATTTATACATTTTAGGGGGACATGAGGGCTTTAGAGGATCTCACATACGAGAGGCGAAAGGACTTCATCATGAAACACAAGCTCCCGCTAGAAATTCCTCTGATATCCTTCCATTCAGAAGCAAGCATTGCTCCTGGTGTTCTGGCAACAATGACTCGCATTGCTCATGCTGAAGTCCCCTGGCTCACTCTGAAAGACAATGAGGCTGAAGATTCTAATATTTGCATTCAATCCAGACGCCAAGTTCCTGTAGTGATGCCCCTTTCTGCCGCCATGGCAGTTTGTGCCCTCCACCTGCAGCTCAGGTATGGCGAAAAAAGCGACGGCCTAGTCACATGTCGTGATGCTGAAGTTCCAGGATCTGTTGTTGTGAGACCGGATAGGAAGCTTGACCATGCCTGGATGGTGTACTCTTCAAACAGGAGAAATCCCAGTGAACCTGACGCAAGTGAAATGTGTGAGGCTTTATTGACTCTACTTGTAGAGCTTGGTAGGACTAAAGAAAGTAGTGGAGCAAGTTAGACTGTGATATACATGTTTTTCTGGGGTTTCTTATTACAGATAACATGCATATTATATGTAAGCACACTTCTCAAACATAATCTATGACTTGGGCCAATCTGGTTTATCAGAAATTGATAGTTAGAAATTTGGAAATTAAAGTACCTAAATAATCACTGCATCTGCCAAAAATGTTGAACCCTTTTAAATGAGAGAACTTCATGTGAGAAGCAGCGGAACTGACCATAAAGCAAAAATATATCATCAGATGCACTTGTATATGTTCATGGTTTTAAGTATGCAGACCTTGCTAAGGATATTAAATATTGCAGTGTGTGCAGAGAAGATGAGCTATTCTTTGGGCTCAATTCTGACCATGCGATGGCCTCCATTTGGTACTGCTTCCGCCATTCATCTGATAATTGGGATACCAACATGTTACCTTAAGGAAGAGATTGGCCTTACTTCCTTCGTCATTGGTATTTGATTTGGCCCAAATATGTTGTTAGGATTTAGTATATTGTTTCACATTCTATCTCTTGAGGGATCAACCTTTTGTTTGAAGGAATTGCAAATGATTCCTTTGCTCTCTTCAGAAGTGTGTGAAAGAGGACAAAAAGAAGTTTGAAAAGATGGGAGCCACTTTGACAGTGACATTCCAAACGTTTTCTTCGGGTCTGAGGACCATGAGGGAATGAGACCATCTTCATGACATGGAAAATGAAGCTCCTACGAATGCTACATGTGGTAGATTTCTCATTTAAAATTCCCAGTGAAATCATCGTCGGTATGAAGTCCCAAGAGAAAAAACAAAACACAGGAAGAGAGAGAGAGAGAGCCGCCATCTCTGGGTGCATAACAAGTCATTTTCTCTCAACAGATCAGCTAGCATTTTCTATTGGCAGTTCTCATAACAATGACAAGTCAAGAAAGAGAGTGGAAGACCGAGGTACCGTCTGGTTTGGTGGAAACGAAAGGCCTCGAACGGAAGCACGGTGCTCTGACAGCGGGACGGGTTCCATCTCGGAGAACATTTCACGTGGAAAATTGGGAAAAAGTCTCCATTAAAAATTGGGAGAATTACATTTCCCATACATAATCACTACAAAGTTCCAAGTAATAACCTGAGCAGGAAATAACAAGTCTTACAGTGAGAATGACAACCTCTGGGACTTTTTTTAATTACTTGGGAATAATTCTAAAAATTTTATGGATAAACCCTAATACATACACGCGGGAAAACAAAAAACGGCTACTTTCCAAATTTTATCCGCACAGAGCAAGTATTCTAATTTTTTGAAAATTCAATTTGTCCAATAAAATCTATAACCAAGCTGTTTTATTTATAAATAGTAAAGAACGTTTCATTTCAAAGTTTCTGCATAGTTATACGGTAAACGTACATAGTTATATTATATAAGAATAAAATTCAAATGCCAAGTAATTTTGACTTGGGGAGAAAACAATGAGACTGAATTGTACAAATTGCATATGGCATTTATCTGATGGATTCCATAAACCAGCAGGTAGCCAGAGGGCCATGCCACAGATAAGAGCGCATGGGGAGAAAATATTAAATGACATTCCAGGTGATCATCACCATTTTGTTATTCCTTGCAGAGAGATTGTTACAAACTCCTCAAGTAGTGTTATTATAAATATCCTGACTTAATTTCCATATGATTTGTTACCCATTTCATCAAATTTTTAAAACCACTGACACTTTTGCTTAGAGGAGAGTGAGGACCCCAAAACCACCCAATATGGTTGCCACCTGAATTCCATGTGATTTGGACATCATCGCATACCTAAATAGATCTCATTCATATATATGGCTCCACATTCATTTAATGGTGGAAGTGTTTTGGGTCTACCTCTTTAAACTTCTGGACCAATGCATCATCGCACCATCTACCTCTTTTTGGAGCTTTCTTTCTGCTCTGCAGGATGGTGGCATACTATACTATGAAGGTATTATTTGTTTCTTTTCAAGGGCCAAAAAAAAATATATAATGGGGTCAAAATGACAATGATATTTCTTTTCATCCATTAATAGCACCCTGCTCAAAAATGACATTATTCATATGTGTGTTATTCCAACTGGTTATGTTTCACTTTCATCCCATTTTCTTAAGAACATTTTGAGCTCATAAATTAATGGCTCCACTCATTCAATTCACCTTGGCCCCCCTCTGTAGTAACCTGCAACTACCCTCGTGCATCTGCAGATATATATATATTATATCTGTTCATATCAGTTGCTTCTAATCTAGGAAAGACAGCATTTTCCAGATTCTTATGTGGCACTGATTTCACCGAAGTCTTAAGTAAAATCTCTATGACAAGTGACAGCCTCGATCCAATCAATTTCTGGACACCAAAAGTTTCAAGTTTATTCTTGATCCTTCCTTCCGGAATGCAGTAATAAATGAGAAGATATTGTAAACAAATGGGAACATCATTAAGTATATATGACAGAAAACTTGGCACACAAACACACATACACTGTCGTTTCTCTCTGAGAAGAAGGCAAACTAGCAGTTACTTATCAATTAGAGAACTCCACCTCTCATGTATGATCAAGCTTATGCATTAATGGTGTCCCTTCTCGCGAAGCAAATTCAACTTTAACTGGCCAATTATTTAATGTAAGGAACAAATCCGTCTAATCTTGTTTAGTTGATTTAATAGAGTTTGAGGTGCAGTACGTACCTTGTGGGGTTTCGATACACATGGGAATTTAATCCGTGTCTCTACCACGCACAAGCTGATTTCAAAATGCTCAATAAATGTAGTATTTTAAGACTAGATTGTGTTAAATTCATCTCCTATATTGCCTCCAGTCTTTAATATAAAATCTTATTTAATTTTTATTTTAATCCTAAATATAAGATTCCAATATTTTATCTCTTATATTTATATATTTTTTCCAAGATAATTATTCTAATAATGGTAGTTCTAACCAATACACTTGATTAGTAAGGATATTTTAGGAAAAACAATATCTATTTATTACAAATAACTAAATTAACTTTTTTTTAATCTCCTTAAATTAGTCAATTAACTCTTATATTTAAGATCAGATGTAATATTATTCATGGTAACTATACTTAGTTTTTGAGAGAACAGAGCTTCTGAAGAGATTGTTTATCATCTAGCGGCAAATTATTCAAACTCGGGTTGACGTTTGTGTCTCTCAAACATTGTCCAAAGGAGAAAATATAAAAAGAAAGCAAGCATTCGTATGAGAGAAGCTGATCACTGAACTAACCTTTGTTTTTTTTTTTATTTGAGTGAACTAATCTTTGTTTATTGACAGCTCATATTTGTATGGTACACCGTACGAATCATTAAGTGATCCTGGTGAAGCGAAAACAGAAGCTTCCTAGCAGCAAAGCCTTGAGTTTTAGTATAAGATCCTGGTACAGTAAGACTATTCAACAGAATTTCAATCTTGCTTTCATAATTTCGTTACGTGCAACAGAATTTGAGGTTACTTCCACAACAACCTTGTTTGCCACAAATTTGGTTCGCTTTAGTCCCCAATCTGGGTTAGGAATAGGATCTGTACATTAATAATTCAGTTTTCATCAACTTCGTCACTTCGGTTTGCATCAGCACGCAGGAAAGTAATGCTGATCTGCTGAACAAAGTCGCATCTTTCAGGTCCTTAAAAATCTAAAGCTGAACTCTTTCTTTCTTAAAATAAAAATTCAGACTTGTGGTTCATTTATCTGCTGAGGAAGTTCAAGCTGTGATTGTACTATGGAATGGTCCCTGGTTTAATGATCATCTTGGAGAATCAGACTCGTCTGTACTTCGGAACGTGGAAGAAAAGGAAATTCATGCCGGCTCATATTATTCAATTTCCTGTGTGCGATGTCCGGAAATGGGTTAAAGTCAAGTTTCATGGCACTACTGAAGTTGATTTATTAGTTAATCACATTTTTCAAATTCCTGCAATTAAGGCCGTCGTCTGGCACTGATAAGATCCTTCGTTGCTAATCACGAAGAGAAGAATAAATGAAGGTTGACTCTAAATTTGTGTTGCCCTTCATTCAGGAGATACTAAATTTCAGAATTTGGCTAGTTTATTACTGTCTGGTCCTCAATATAATTATTTTTCTTAATCTATTAATTAGTCAGAAGATAAAATATCTCGAATTAGATGGATTAATACTGAATTATTGATTTTGTCGTTGGGGAAAATCTCCAGTTCCTTCGTACCAAGAACATACGGCTTCCAAGCACACTAAAAATGCCACGTACCCCTAGAGAGCAGAGATAATTGTGCTGGGGCCAACTCAATTGAATACCCCAAAACTCAGGTTCATCCATGAACCTGAAACATAAATGCCGAAAAATTCTCAAGCTTTATCGCCCTTTATCCTTCAAAAAACACGTTTTAAAATTCATTTTGAGGAATGCAGTGCATGGAAAACGCTCGAGCGCTAGCTGGAACTGACCGAATCCAAATTTTCCTGAGCCAAGAGACTAGATATGTTTCTTTTGTTCTTGTCGTTTTGTAATTTTCCCCGGGAAAATGATAATAACCAAAACCTAATTGACGATGACTGAGGAATCACGCACCGTGACAGAAAAGAGAAAAGAGAAGGTAAAAAGTTAAAAAAAAACCCTGATGAACAGAGAAGAAATGGGTGGACAATGTGAATTTCGCGACAGAAACGCAACCCGGAAAGATGGTACTCTGTTTTTATTCTTCGCAAGAAGACAAAGCTCAGTCTTTTAAGTAGAAAAAACAATGCTGTCCCGAGAAAAAACAAGAAGAAAAAGAAGCAGCAGTAAGTAATACCTAAAATGCAAAGAAAGAACTAATAAATGAAATAAGAGGGCAAATTAATTAGTTAAAACGAAGGGAGGAAAAAAGAACAGAGCAGGGGACAACAATAGCGTTGTTCTACAGCCATAAGCATGCACAAGCACAGAGTAAAAGGTAAATCAAGAGGGAAAATCCTCTGCGTCGGCTCTGTCACCATTGACCTGGCAAGTTCGGGCCTTTATATATTTAATACTTTGGAATATTTATAACCATGACATTAATGATGATTTTCTTTCTTTTCTCTTTGGCCAACACGTCCATGATTATTTGTGAGGAAAAAAAAACCCATAAACCGAATGGAATGTTTTATCAAATATAAAATACAAAAATCATAAATAAATGTAAAGGTTTTTTAATTAAATGGAAAGGTTTTGAATATGTTTAGTTTATTTTTCATATGTTTCTTGTGCAGATAGAGGAATCAAAATCTAGTCATACAAAGGTGCTCTCCCACTGTTCCAGTCTTCTTTTTTTTTTTTTCCCACCCGGTTCACCAGATCTTTGCCCTGACTACATCCGGATCCGACCCGCGTCGCGCACCTGGGTATGAGAGTCTCCAGTGGAGGTTTTCTGCATCCATGAGGAATCGAACTCGAGACTCACTTAAGCGGAACCGAGCCGCTTACCACTCGGACCAACCCCGTTGGTTGTTCCAATCTTTTGTATTCATCCTCCCTCCACATTATGTTTTTTTTTCCCTTTCTCAAACGAGAAAAATACAAAGAAAATAAAGAACTTGACATGATATAATAATTAGAAGAAGCGGATGTACATAATATGATTAAAGTATGAAAGTAATATATGCTGATCAAGGCAAGACGCGGGCATTGAAAGCAGAACCATTCGTGTGGGGGTCACTGGCTTCCAAATCAGCCCCGCTTTTCTCTCTCACTTGCCCTGCCCCTACTAAAACCCCCCCTCTCCTCTCCCCATTCTTCTCACCCTCCAAAGCTTCCCCTTCCTCAATCTCATTCCCCCTTATTCATTCTGCTCATAATAAATTACAAAGTTCCTATTTTGAACCTTTTTCTAAAAAAAAAAAAGCTTTTGGATTTCATTAAGCTGAACTATTGTTTGCTAGCAGTTGCTTGTCCTGATCAGTATCAATGGCTGAGCTACCCAGCTCAGAGACAGAGACAAGCATTCACACTAACTGGTCTTCACACTGTCCATCATCGTCGTCGTCGTCGTCGTCAACGTCTGGGTTATCTCAATGT